TACGGGGACATACTAACATGCGTATTATAGCCTTATAGCGATGGTCTGTGTGTGCCTCAGAATTGGGGTGACCCGGTGACCCGAAAAATGGCTCTGTTCACAGACCTAACAACCACAGGGATCCTTACATCATACACCTGAACATTGCCTTGTAAATGGTGGTTTCCCTTTATTTTGGTGGAAAAAGCCATGTGTCAAATGGGCAAAATGTATTTCTTAAGGAGCCCTGAACCAAAAAGACCATTCGTCCCAACCCCTCCCCCGTCCTCTTCGCCCGTGCCTCGCCAAGGCTCGGTATCTCCACGCCTGTGTGCAGTCCGGGCCCAGAGCCACTGCCTGCGCGCGAGAAACCGAGGCTTCGGCGGCAGAGACGCGGCCAGCGCTGGTTTAAGACCTTTCCACACAGAAAGAAACAACAAACCACAAACAAAACCGGGAAACCAACCAAAGTCCAGACAAAGACACCACTCGCCGTAAGCAAAATACGGAAACAAAACACAACCAACAGCTGCCCTGCCAAGAATAAGCAAGCCGCACACACACACACACACACACCACACACACACAAAATGAACACAGGCAACAACCACCGAACACAAACCGGGCAAAACGCAACCAACACCAGCAACCAAACACAATTCCAGCCAAGTCCCCGGCGCTTTTTGGGGTCTTGCTGGGGGTAAGCACCTGAGCTCAATCCCAATCCTAACAGGAATACCTCCTCTTAAGGGGCCTGCAAGGTAGCTCGGTACTCCTGAAAACCTGTCCTGCAGGAAGAGGAGCCTGACATGCAGCCTCTCCGTTGTTGGATGGTCGGGTCCCTAAGGTTTTTAGGTGCGCCCAGATCTTCTACATGCTGAAATATGAACTGATGACATCGAGCCTTTCGGCGGAAAAAGAAACATCTAGGGAAATTGGTAGACACTCTTTCATGGAGTTGCAGCCAAACTTGCGGCAACTCAAACCGTGGTCGCCCAACGTCAGCTGTTTCCCTATAAGGGTCTTTGAGGCGGGGTGATTGTGGGGGCTGGAACACAATGCTTGGCTCAAAGCTATTTAGGAACAGGTTGTTTGATGTTCAACCAACAGGTAGATTGTAACCACAGGGGTATCTGCGTGATTGCCCCCTCGTTTCGTCCCCTTTGGCTTTCCCTAGAAACGATAGAAACCTGGTTCCTTCCTCCTTTGGCCCCTTTGGCGGGTTTAGGCGGAAAGCACGGGCCCTTTCAAGGGGGCTTCTAGGCCTATCCGGAACCCTTTGATCCGGATCCCCTGAAAGAAAACACCAAGAAATTCTTCTAGGGGGTGGTCATTGCCTACCCCAGATCCCCAGACCCTCAGACCCGCAGACCCGCAGACCCCCCGACCCCTAGACCCCCAGACCCCAGCGCAAAGTGGGAAAAATGGCTGTCCCATTCGCTTCCTAGGTATTTCATGTCAACCACTTTGGAGATCGTTGCCTTAGACATGTCACAGCCATTTGTTTGCCCATTTCTCAATGTGAGCCATGGTCAAGACTCTTGACATGCACTAGGGTCATGTCTCTGTAGAACTCCTTGCGGATATGAACGCGCTGCATGATCCCTGTTGACCCCAAGTACAGAAGAAAAAAAACATGTCTTTCAACCATGGCACATGGCCACATAATGTTGACCCAGGATTAATAAACCCGTCCCACTATTAGGGGGGTGTTCCCTCCAAAAGTGATTAATCCCCACTAAAAGGAGACACCCCCCTATTAATCAACCAGGGGTTCTGCTTAATCCGGGGTCAACTTTACGTCCCTCAAAACGCGGCTCACGCCGGGTGCTCACGCGCGAGCCGGGCGCCACAGGGCGCCTGGTTGCAGCAGGACATGGTCTTCGCGGGGTCCGTGTGCAAGCTGAGCTGCGCCGCCTTCGCCAGGAAGGAGGCGGCGTCCGACAAAGGCGCCAGCAGCACCGACCTCAGCACCGGTCACCCGTCGCAGCCCGACGACGAATGGCTCGAGCCCGACGACGTGTTTTCTTCTTTAAAAAAAGAAGGGGAAAAAAAAAAACACGAAGCGGCGACCCGCTTTTTTTCAGGACTTCTGAGTTCTTTCCCCCAAAACCATGACTCCAAACGGAAACTCACTTTACGTTGGTCCATTTGATGCTTGAAACCAACAGGGGAGTATGGGAACTCTGGCCAATGAAGTCTCGGAAGAGTGGCATGTGGGCATGGGGAAGAACGTTCCACAATATGGGATATGACTAATATGTGAATCCTCGCTGGTTGTGGTTAAGGGCGCAATAAAGACTCAGAAGCTCACACAACAATGCGGAGTCCCTTGGATGGTTTAAGGGGCAAACAGGAACCTGAGTTTCCCTGATTTTTAGACAAACAGCCATGAGGAAGACTCAAACAAAAACTGTGGGTTTGCATCAGGAAGAGAGAAGGCCCGCCCTTTTTGGATAGCTTGTGTTTACAAGAAATCCCCTCCCCCGAAAAAAAGAAAACGGGTCTCACTGGGCAGCTGGGAAGAACCACAAGGCCAAGGAAGCATAGGGGGGTCTGTCTTGTTGTGAGGGTGCCCTGTTTTGAGTGGGTTTAATGGACCGCCAAAAACAGACTTTCACAGTTGGTTATGCTTTGTGGTTTTGGAGGTTGCGGGACTCCGGTCTTGGCGCTAAACTTCGGGACTGGGTCAGAAGACGATGCAAAAGCAGGGTTCACGCTGGGTATGTCAGAACCCTTTGGCAGACAGCATTTACATGAGTAAATCAAAAAAGGGTGTACCCCAGCAGGAGTGGTAAACAAACCTTGCAGGGTGGCCCACAAAAGGATCCAAAGACCAAACAGGGTTTGGGGATCAGATGATAGCGCCTACCCTAAGGTTTGCAAGTCCCGCCCATTTTTGTTGGTGTCATCCCCCCCACTAGTTCTATAGGGGTAAACATATCCGACTTTTGAGGAGTGGCAGAGGGCGTTCGGGCCGCTGATGTTTGAGGGTCCCCCAAAAGATGCGCGCGAATCTTGGAACACTTGCGCGTGGCATGAAATGTCTGATTCTGATATACCAGCGTCTGATTCCAATCCGACTTTGGCAACCACCTGGCTGATGCCAGCCATTCAGAATTCAGACGAAAAAACGATGGTTCTATTCAAACGCCTTTTCCTGGCATTTGGTGGTTTCTTGGAGTCAAGGATTCCTATGTTACTGGAAGTTACCGCTCGATCCATGACCCCATTCCTCCACGAATCCGCTCCAAGGCTCTACGATGGTGGTTTCCACCCCCAAACCACAGGAGGTTGCAGGGACATACAGCCACTGAAAACTGTGTACATAGTCAATGTTCCTCTGGGGTACATGGGGGTTGTGCAAAATTAGTCCTGTTTTCGGCTACTCGCCCGTCCGCATCTCTTCCGCGACCCTTGCGCGTCTCTTCCGCACACACGGTGGAAAGATCATGCCATGTAAGCCTGGAAATTCGGGATACCAAACCGAATACATAGATTTTAGCACGACGCCCATCTGGTTTGGCGGTAGTGGACACTATCTAATACACAAACAAATAAACTACCACCAGGGGAAAAGGATTGTATGCATTTATAGTGGCTATCTTCATCAAGTTGCTTTCTCCCCTTGTTTTCTGGACACCACAAAGAAAGCCAAGTTGCGGGGATCGATTTTGCTGGACCAAACGCGAATTGCTTCCGCTCGGACCCGCGTTTCTTCAGCTCCGACTCGCGAGGCTCGGCCAAGGCGCCCCACCCCGGTGGGGCTGCTATGGCCATAGCTCAGCTCCAGGGGCGCCGAGTTGGACCGCGTCATGGGCCGCGGCTGTGGGGGGAAGTGCTGCGTGGAGGCCATTGGACTCCTGGCACCACCGGAACGACCAGTCAGCTGTCCTAGGAATTCCGGTAGAGAGGTTAGAATAAGGGTACCAACGTTTTTCCGTAGTCTATTTGAGTCGCAATCAAAACCCGGTATTAAAATGATCTACCCAGAACCATGTAAAGAATTAAGAAGGCGGCCGCAGCTATTTCTGGCTGGGACTGCCCCTTACTAACCTTCATCTACCCTGAGTTGGAGAACCCTTCCCCAAAAAAGGGTACAAGGGCACTACTGAGGGACCCAGTGTCTGCTTGCCTCAGAAGAGGGAAAGTTTGGATTGGTGATTTGGAGCTTAGGGAGTGGTTGACTCCTGAGTTGTCAGCTTCCCTCGGAAGTGGCAGGTTGAGTTGGGGATTTGGAGCTTAGGGCGTGGTTGACCGTGGCAGGTTTGGGTTGGTGATTTGGAGGGGTGGTTCAAACAAGGGCGTGGCCTAACCCTGCTCCTGGGCTGTTCAAAATGGTTCGTGTAAGGTAAGGATTGAGGACTGTTCAACAGAGTCAGAACATTGGCCAAGTAGAGTATGGGTGAGAAAATGGCACAAACCTAGACGCTCCATGAAGACAATATTGGTGTACATTTGCCCCGAATTGACTGGCACTCAAATTATCCAAATGTGAGAAGCACATCGCTTACAAGGGAGCCTCAGGGAAGTTACTTCATTCATGTACTTGCCCACATGGGAATTTTGAGTTCTACTTCCCACCCTGGTGTAATGGAAAGAGTTTGACGGAAGCCTCTCATGTGAAGATAGCCCGAGCTCATTTGGTGTTAAAACTCGAAACTCAAAACATGTACCCTCCAAGACACATCCCAATGTTCCAAAGGGAACTTAGATCATGGAGTGAGCTAAGTGGTTAGCCACCACCAAGCTTCCTCCGGCCCCCCAAGCACTCGGTTGGTCACTGAACCTAACCCAACGGCTCATCTGAGGGCCCAAACCTGGCGATGGGTCGTACCCAAAGGGTCCATGGGCATCGGCCTTTGCAGACTTTGCAAGGTGAAACCAAAAACCAAAGCCCGGGATCAAAACCGAAATCCAACAGACTTACACCAAACCGGCCCAGCCGCGGGGGACACATTGATCCTTTTCAAAAAACCAAAGGACCAAAGAAGCAGTTGCCGTGCTTACTCCTACTCCCAAATAAACAACTTTCAGTGAAGCCACTGTTCCCGCAAACCTGTGCGGGATTGCGAACCATTCAGCAAAGTTCCCCACATTGCCGACATAGTAGGACAACGCAAGGGGGGAGCGGGCAACCAAACCCCCCATCAGTGCTCCGAATGGTTCTTTGGCCGGAAGGAGTCCCAATCCAATATGTTCTTTGAAACAAGGACATTGAACTCACTGGATTGCCAAAACAAAAACAGACTTGTTTGCAAGTGAAATCATGAATGGTGCAAGCCCAAAACGTGGGTTCTTGTCCAGAAACTCAGGGAGTTTTTTGCACCTGGCTTCAAGCAATTAACAGCTAAGGGCTTCGAGATCGAACTGGCCCCTTGAAGCCCTTGAGGGGCCTGTGATTCCATGCGCCCCAAATCCAAGGCTTATACCTACTCTGTCATGTGCTTACAGAACGCCTGGTAGCTCCTTAGCTCCCAAGGCAAATTCAGACACCCCCAGCTCCTTAGCTCCCTTCCAACCACCAGCTAGTACTACGATGGTTTGATCCCACGACAGGCTCGCGCGCTCGGCCTCGGAGCCAACTGCGGGTCGCGGTTGAAGAGCCACCTGAGATCGATCCCAACCCGAAGGGGTGCGAAGGGGTGAAGGAAATCCGAGCCATGGTCAAACCCTTTCTTGGATGTTCCAACCACTTAGTAATTAGGTGATCATGACAATGATTATGACTGGGGTAACTGGGGGTCCCCTTGCACCCATGGAGTTATAACCTAGGGCTTTAGCGAAAATGGCCCCCCTATAGCCCTAGGCTTGCTCATGTCCACTTTGACGTGAGGTTGGCCCACGGTTTTAACTCTTGAAAGGACATACTAATACGGCCTGCCCACAAAGTCTAACTCAGGGATCGAGCTATTCACAATTTCCGTTTTCACACCCAAAAATTGGGCGAGGCCACGTGGCAATTTGGGGAGTCCCCATGTCATCCCTGCACCATAATGTAGATAGTAAATATTCATCCTTTCTCATATGTACGGACAACCAAAAGGAACACAACACATTTTCGGAGTTCCGGTTCCAAAACAAAGAAAGACACCCCCATACGGGACAGGGTCAAAACTACCTGTTCCTTACAAGGACGCGGGACATGTTCGTTCTCCGTAGGCTTTGTGTTGGAAACCTTTCCTGAGTTGATCCGTGTGGATTCCCAAATGGACAGTCGACTATGGGAGAACTTGACCAAACCTCATCAGTTTGTTGGGGTTGTAGGGAAACCACTAAACAAAAAGGGGTGGTACAGGGTGAAATCCGCTGAACAACTAGGACTCTGGAATTACTTTTGGCGGGGCAGCCAAACATACTCTTTCCCAGGCCTACAAAGCACCACCCTGCAGAAAGGAAAACCCTGAGCCGGACTCCCTCCCCTGCCAAGACACAAGTCCATATCCAATATACACCGTGTTGTCCTTTTGTTGAGAGTACCAAAGTATGTTGTGGCTGTTTTCCTAATGGAATCCAAAGGAGCACCACCCATGGGAGGGTTCCCTCAAACATGTGTGCTTGTGCGTGTCTTGGCGTTTTCCTCCACTCCTGCCATTCTACCAGCCCGGGCTTGGAACGCTGGTTGGCTTGGTTTGTTCTGGTATGCTTTTGGTACGTTCTGGAACTCTTTGCAGATTCGTTTTAATGTTCTGGATTTCCCCAAGTGGAATGACGAGTACCTGGAGTCTCCATGATCCTTTAAGAAGGTTACCCAATTTGAGGGGTCATGGAATTCCCCGTGTTCAAAGTGTGTCACGGAAACTCTTTTGGTAAAGCCGGGCCCCGGAATTGCCGCAATGTCGCCCCCCAAAAATGTCAGAGAAACCCAGGGGCTCCACAGGAGTTCGGAAATGCCATGTTTGGCGGGAAGCACAAATCTAACTCATAAGCGACACAAAGGTTTTTCAGTTCTCGGCACCTGAAGCCCGGGTAACACTGAAGATGATCACTCTTCCACATGAAGCGGGAGAGCCCGCTTCAGAAAGACCAAAACGGTCGCAAAACGAATCCCGGAAAACAGTACCTAATCCGAGAAAATGTGAGCTGAGGGTTGAGACAAGTTGACAAACCTTGGGCGAGTTTAGAGTTGCGGGGATCTTCTCCGGAATTATTTGCCCTTTCCTCCTTCTTGCGGGCGCAACTGTCGACCCGTCGAATCCATTTGGGGAACCCTGGGGAGAACACTTCTGATAGCAGGGATCCCCAGAAAAGGCTTCACACGTCATACTACAAAGGGAAACTCAACTCCCCACATTAGAGCAGCCCGAAAATGATGTTGCTCCATGTTGCTCCCTCTTTAGTTGCTTCTTAACCTTCTCTTTTGGAAAGACCGATTTAAAGTGAGTTTGCCTTTGGTGGTTGTTTGCTCTAAAGGGACACCATACCATGGGGCAAATAACAAACATGCCTCCTTGCTTGCAATGTTTGCCAATGAAAGACGATCTTCAGATCCCACCCAAGCAGTTGAGAAGCGCCCCAAACCCACTTTTGTTCTACGCAGCTGTGAGAGGTTTCTATGGGGCTGACTGCAATCCCCTAGCAAGGTAGGAACCGAACAAACTAAACAGCCTTTCTGGGTGTTTTGGGCGCTGTTCAGTTGGAATCATGGTTGTGGAACTTCACCCTGTCTGTGATACCAGCATAGGTAATTCAGACTACCTTATGATCTCAAGTAAAGGACCGTCACCCAGGTGAGCTCAAACCGCCGCCAGCCCATGCGCCCACCCACCGCAACGGCCAGATTTCTCTGCCGACCGGGCGCTGCCAGTACGGCGGCGCCGTGACTTTGCGCCCCCCCAGCTGCGGCGAGCGCGGGCTCGCCGCGGACCGCGGGCTCGCTCCCCGAGGCGACCCGCGGGAGGTCGGGGGTTCCCCCGGCGTCATGGCGAGCGGCGAAGGCATCGTGCGGTTTCGGGGGAGGGGGGGGGGGTTGAGTCACAACTAAGCAACATCCAACCGCAGTGGATCTCACTTGCAGCAAGTAAAGGGGTCTCCAAAATCCATGGTAAAGAATCAGGCCCGAAACTCGCTGCACCTTTTTTGTGGTTGGCGCACTTGTCTCATACTTATTTTGCATTTACCCAGATTTGGACGTTGGCTCTTTTGGGCCCGTGGAACTGTCAACTTTCGGCCACGCGTCGTGGTTTCCCACACAGCGAGGCCGGGCCCCCTGAAATTCCAGTTCAACTTGCGGTACCGTGCGCCGATATTTCGGATTGGCAAGAACTTGACAGTTTTTTTGTCCCGGCGATGCACCATGGCACTAGAAGCCAGAGGGACAAGCACCTCTCTCAAGCGAAAGAACCGCCAAAGGCTGCGGCTCGAGACGTGAGGCAGACACCGGTGGCTTCCGTTGAGCTAGTTCTCCGTGACAAGTTGAGGAACCCCACCCGACCTTGTGGGCACTTGACACGTGACAAGAGGAACCGGAAATGGCGCGATTTTTCCGAGGTCGGCAAGCCCCTTCGGATCAGCACCAAAACATCCCCGTCAAGCAAAGCTTCATCCCGGGGGGCTTGATCCTTCGCTTCTCACGCAAGAACACTGAGCATAGGCAGCATGTGCAACTTGTGTCAAGGAAATCCAAGAAACTGCTAACTGCACTACATAATTTGCAACAATTCGCCAACCAGACTTCTTGGAATCCAAAGGAAGGAACTTTCAAGTGGCCCGGCAGAAGGAAGTCGCTTGCTACCAGCCACACACACATGCTGCGTTCTGCCCAACCGCCCACCTCACAAGAAAAGGAAAAACGAGAATGCAGCCGGTCTGGATTGACATGTCGTTTCTTTGGGGAATCGGACCGGGACCCAACATGGCACAACGGAGTTCCTTCCGGCTTCCATTTAAGGCCATCCAAGAAGCGCAGGGATCCCCTTCCACAAAACACGTGGGTGAATCACCCGAAAATCCAGAGCAAGGCCCGTTCTTTTCAAGACGATGTTTTGAAAAGAGGGACGGACACTCCAATGGTCGCCTTCAGCGCCATTCACATGGAAGAACAGGCCCCACTTCTCACGCCCCAGAAGTTCATTGAAGGACACTCCAGTCGACCCCGGTCCCGGCAAGGGAGAAAAGAAGGGAACAAACAAACAAAAAGCAGCCAACAAAAACAAACGCCGGACCCATGGGCGAGGCCCCCGCCGCCGGCGAGGTGGGCGAGGGTCGGTCCGTGGGCACCGGCGGCTCGCTGGGCGAGTGGACCTCAGAGCCCCAGTCTGTCGCTTGTCGTCAGTAGATCCCGGTGACCACTCTTCCGGGCTGTCCGTTTTCTGATCCCAGACATGTGCCCCAGGACCATTCCCAGGACCGAACAACTTGCCTCAGGGTTCGGCCTAGGGCAAGCCCGCAAAAAGTGCAACAATTCGTGGGTTGAATATGGAAATCCAACCACCAAACACTAAAATGCGAAGAAGCTAAGGAACCGCATGGCTGGGAACCACCAAGTATTCTAAGAGTTGATTGCTTTTCCATTCTTTTCAACCATCGTTCTTTTCACAAACCGATCGCTGTTTCCAAAGAATGGAAATGGAAGCTTTCCCTAGAACTCTTGTGAATCCGAGGGAGACCCAGGAACCTCCCAAAATCCGGCTTTCCCAATCCTTGTCGACCTTGAAGGGGGCTGGTTTACTACTCAAGTTCCAGTATTAACCAGTCATTTTCCATGGTGGCCCCATCGGGCCCCATGGTTACCTATCCACGGGTCCCCCATGACCACATGGCATTTCCTTTTCTCAGCCCAAAAAAGCTGGAAACAAACTTCACTAGGTCCTCCAGTAGAGAGGGTAGAATAAGGGCACTTTTTTTTCTGTAGTCTATTTTAGTAGAGGAACCCTCCCAACCAAAAAAGGGGAGAGAAGGGCACCTGGCTGGGGGACCTAGCAGATCAGCTTTGGAGCCATTGAAAATGGAGCATGGCGAAACCTAAAGGTCAAACGGTCCATCCGCTGTACAAATTGTATTGGTTCGCTAACGCTTGGTTGACGTTGGAAGGGGAGCAACAAAAATCATGTTTAGCAGTTGTGGGGATTTCCCACTAAACCACAATAAGCAAAAATGTCAAATGTTTCCCAAATACAACCATGAAAGGGGTCTGTGTGTAACCGGAGGAAAGGGCACCGCCGGGAACTGGAAAGTTCACCAGGAAAAATGGGATGCGTGCGCTGTTGTGGCTCAAGGCATGCTTTTTTTGGGTTGGTTTAAGGGGGAACCCAAGAAACAAAAACCATGTGGGACGGGAGGTGCAATCCCAATGTACGATTCTTTTGGCCGTCCCTGGGAAAGACTAAATGTAACGCGTGGCCGCCGCCTCCCTCCCCCAAAGAGCAAAATGGGCGGTTTTGGTTGAGGGTACCTTTTGCAGTTTGGGTTGAAGGGAACCAACAGGACAACCACCATTTTAAGATCCAAGCCCCAATTTGACATGTACCCAAATGGGAGTTTGAATAGGAGGCCCTTTGGTGGACATCCAGGTGAGGATTCATGCCCACCGACCCCTTTGAGGTGGTTGTCTAATGAAAAACCGTGGTCAAACGGAGCTGGGGGCACTCACTCCACAAACGCGGCGGTTTTCCCTGTTGTTGTTTTTTTCCCACACCAAGCCCAACAACACAAGCTGGCCGCCTCCAAAAAACGACGCCATGTCGGCGTGTCTCTTGGCCCTCTAAAAACCCGAGCTTTTTCAACACATGCCGCTCCCAGCATCCCTCAACCCCCCGCGCCCCCCCCCCCCCCGAAAAAAAAAAATGCCGCCCCAAGCAAAGGACATTTAAGGGTATGGGTCAAAATTAAAAAAAAAACAAAAAAACACGGGTTTCAGCCATTGTTTCCATGTACCAGGGCAAGCCATTTTGGGGAATTCCTATTTTTGACCAGCCGTTTGGAGCAGCGGGCGTTGGTTTTTTTTCCCCCGGAGGCGCTGCACTCCGCTGCACTCCGCGCGGAGTTGAGGCTCCGGGCCGCTGAGCTGGAGGCGCCGGGCAGCGCGGAGGCCTCTGCGTCGTCGAGAAACGAGGAAACGAGACTCGAGGCCCAGAGCTGGGGGGGGTTGGGGGGGTGGGTTGGGGTTGGGGAGGGGGGGTTGGGGGGTTGGGGGTTGGGGTTTTAGGGGGGGGGGGGGTTGGGGGGTTTGGGGTTGGGGTTTTAGGGTGGGGGGTTGGGGGGGGTGGGGTGAGGGGTTGGGGGTTGGTTGGCCCTGAAATCTCTATATGAGTCATAACCCAAACCCGGTAGTAAAATGGTCGACATATGTCTCCCGGGCCCGTCAAAAATGAGTTGCCATGACCCCGTTCTTTGGAGTGACCCCGTGGTCAAAGGATCATGCAACGCTCAATTCCTGCTCAACAGACAAGATCCGTTCAACCAAACATCAGTCAGCTCAGGGAATGCGGCCGACAAGTGGAACAACCCATACCGGAAAGGAGTTCACAACATATGCCTTCAATCCCAAATAGGAGTAAAGGGATTTACAAAGGGGGTAGAGGAGCTAAGGCAAAAGTGCTATATTTTTGCATTGACGTCTCTCAGGTTTGAGGAAATCTTTGATCAAACAAGCAGCCCCACCCCCCGTGACACTTCGGGTCTACAGAAACCAAGATGAACTCCCAAGGACTCTTGCCTTTCAACCGATTTCCTCCCCATGTCGAAACTCGATTTCTTCATTTCCCTAACAGGGGGTTTACAAGGTAAAGCTTAGCTTCAGAATGCCCCCCCCGGTAGAAACTGCCACTTCGATCCCCCCCAAGGTAGGAGCCGCCAATGTTGTCCTCCCCGAGGGCAAGATTTGGTCCCGGACAGTCGGCTTGGTGTGTGGGTCATGGCCTGGGTTACTGATCACCTACGTAATCACCCCTTTCACCATTTCCCGGGAAAAACACCCTTCTATTGTTGACCCCAGATTAACACACCCATCCTGATAGGAGGGTGCTTCCTCCGAAAGTGACGAACCCCCACTAGAATGGGGTTTCCACCCCCTGGGGCCGAGGCGGACAAGGCCATTGGTGCAGAGCCGATCTCCTGTGCCGGGCGAAAACTCGGCCCTTCGACTCGGAGGAACGAGAAACGCTTGGAGCTTCTGCTGGGTGTACCCCCTACTCCAAATCACCCACTTCCCCCTCGGACATACGGACATACTTTGAAGAACCATGTTTTCCAGGGTACCTCCTGTTTTTTTTGTGGAAGGTTCACTGTCATACCATATCATACCCTGACAAACGGGGTAGGTATTTGGCGCGAGGGGTGAAGTTCTGGGTCTAGCACAATCAGAAATCCTCTTGGGGTGCTGTGAAATCAAGTGCTGTTTGGCGCCCAGCTTGGCGCGCATTATTTCGTGTCTCTGCTGGAAGGACCAAAGACCGCCCCTTCCGCCTCCTCCTCTCTGGGTACGTCGGGCTCCGGCAAGACTTGAGCCTGAGCCGGAGCAAAACCAACGCTAATCCCCTAAGGCTCATGTACTCGGGTGTTCAAGCTACTTAGTAGGTTATAACCATGGTCACAAGGGGACAACCCCCAGTTACCCCAGGTCTAAGCAGGGTTATAACTTAGCCGAGTTACCATGCTGGTTGAACATCCAAGTCGTGCTCGCGTCGCTGCTTTTTTTCAAAGTTGGGGCCAGCGTTCCAAGGCCCCTGAGGGGTTCTCCATAGGGTTCGGGGGACTGCGTTCATGAGCCTGAGAGGGGTATGGAAAGCTCATTGCTTGTTTACATTTTAGGGGCCAATCCGCCGTTGATTTCACAGTCAAGCTGAGCATGCGACACTAGCAGAAGCTTGCTCTCTTAAAGCAATTTGTGATTGTCCAACGCATCGTGAACACTGGCCTGGTTCAGCTACGATTGAGTTCAATAGTGTTCAATCTGGGTCGGTTGGGCCAACTGCAAAATTGAATCCACTTGATGCTTGGAGGGGACACCTTAGCTTACCACTTTCAAGGTCAAAGCTTAAAGATCAAATCCAACATAGAGCAACAACACAATGTCCATTATGCCACCATGCCTTACAAGCTTGTGCGTGCCCAAACAGATGCAAACTGGGCTTCAACTGGCCTTAGAAAGATACGTCTTTACATCTTTCCAGGTTCAGGGCTCAACATCCCTCAGTCATATAAAGCGAAATCAGGACCACTGCAAAAGAAGCCATTGCAGCCTCATTGGCACGTCAGTTTCTCTAATTGATGGTTTGGATTGGTGGTCCGGATGGGGTGTCCCATTTACCCTCTACAAAAGCCAGGCTGCAAATCCGAATCGAAACCACCTGGCTCCAAACCACAAACCAAGGGGTGCTACTGATATTAAGAGCCATGACCTTCCCATGCCCGCAGCAAGGGGCGAGTTGGCTTAAAGTAATGAGGTAACTACGCCTTCCAACCCTTGGTATGCTCAAAAACAAAACATGTCCTTTGCACCCTCCACATACAACAAGCGGAACAAACATGCACATAAAAAGAGAAGCATGCCAAAAACCGTCCAAAAACATCCAGCAACATGCCAAACACCGTGAAGGCCGCTTGACAAGGACGGCATGGGTCAAAGCATTGGGTTGCTGGCGTGCAGGGCCGCAGGGCCCCGCATCTCCTGCGAAACGTGGGCGACATCCTTTTTGGGAAGTGAGCCACGGTCAACTTATGTCCCACCCTCCCACCTAACATTGAAAGTGCACAGACTGTAGAAAGACGACTTTCCTCTTGGTTAGTTGGCCTTTTTGCACAAACCCATGTTAGTTGGTAGGGTATCCATTTCTGTTGAGCAATCCCCCAACTTGCTCTTGGTTCTTGGCCATGATGGAACTCGTGGAAAGTATATCCTGACCGGTGCTCAAATGAAGCTTGTGATGCCGAAAAGGGCAACCCCTACGATTACTTTGTCACTTTCAAGGAGGCTTCCTTGGTATGACAGCAAGTGGCAGAGGCAAACCTTGTTTCCTACAACCATATCCCAGATCTCCGCAGACCAGGGGAGGCTAATAGGCACCAGTTGTTTGGGTATCATTGGGCCCTCGCATGGACGGGTTTGGACTTCAAACTGGTGTGGTTTTCCTGGTTCCATGTAAACCCGCAGGACAGTAGCTGTTCAGTTTGAACACCTTTCTAACCTTGGTTTGGGCACCAGTGTTCCTTGCAACCCCCAATTAAAAGGAACCCGCCCGAAGTATTGCATGCTAGCAAATCAGTTTTGCACCCCCCACCTAAAGCTGACAAAGCAGCAAAACCCGACAAAACAACAACACGGGAAAACCATCAAGGAGCCAGCAACAAAAGAAGCAAGGAACCAAACAAACCAAGCATAACACCAAGAAACCACAGGAACCAGCATAACAACCACAACAAACCAAGCAATTGACACCAAAACAGTGAGGAAGACGCCGGCCCAATGCTCTCTCCTCCTTGCCCAAACCCCGCGCTGGCGAGGTCGGGGAGGGCATGTCTGTAGGGACCGCGACGCCGTCCTGGCTCTCTCTCTCTCTCTCTCTCTCTCTCTCTTCTCTCTCTCTCTCTCTCTCTCTCTCTCTCTCTCTCTCTCTCTCCCTCTCTCTCTCTCTCTCTCTCTCTCTCTCTTCTCTCTCTCTCTCTCTTCTCTCTCTCTCTCTCTCTCTCTGTCTCTGCCTTTAAAGCATTGATGGATGAATGAACATCCAAATAGTTGAATAAATGAATGAATGAATAAGAACAATGAATGATGAAAAAAATGAATGACATGAAATAACAAAACATGTACAATAACATGAAATGCAATGAAATGCAACGGAATGAAAACGAATGACCCTCTGCGGGGATCGGCGTGGTCGAGGTGCAAAACCTCGAGGTTTTTTGCATTTTTTGCGGTGCCCGCGCGACCCTCTGCGGAGATCGTGCGTGTCAAAGCGCTCTCGCTGTGGCGCCGTGCGAAATTGACTGAATGACTGAATGACTGAATGAGGAATGACTGACTGACTGACTGCCTGACTGCCTGACTGCCTGACTGCCTGACTGCCTGACTGACTGACTGACTGACTGACTGACTGACTGACTAAACAAAGAATGAAGGAATGAGTGAGTGAATGCATGGATGCATGAATGATTGGATGATTGGTGGATTGATTGGTTGATTGATTGATTGATTGATTGTTTGATTGATTGATCGACTGATTGATTCATTGATTGAATGAACGAACGAACAAACAAACGAATGAATGAATGAATGAATGAATGAATGAATGAATGAATGAATGAATGAATGAATGAATGAATGAGTGAATGAATGAATGAATGAATGAATGAATGAATGAATGAATGAATGAATGATGAATGAATGAATGAATGAATGAATGAATGAATGAATCAACAAATCAATGAATCAATGGATAAACAAATGCATGGATGTATGGATGAATGGATGGATGGATGGATGGATGAAAATACATCATACATACATAATAACTCCAGAAGTATTTTGCACAATTAAATGCATGCATTAATAAACAACAATTGGAGGTTGGGTTTTGGGTACTTCGGACATTTAGTGAGCCTCCCATGTCCATTCCAAATGGACCATACACAACACATTTGATCCAACCTCATGACCAGTGGCCCGCCCCGGCTTCACTCATTGACTCCGGCAACCAGCCAGGCTCACTGTGGGTGTGGCCGTGCCGGGCCTGAAACAGCGGGCTGTTGTCCCAGGAGTGAGGCTAAAAGCAGTGTCTCTGCACAACGCACGTCCCGCTCGTTGGCGGCTCATCCCGGTCCATCCAAGCAAACTGCACCCGCACGCGGAAAGAATTTTCCCACCACATCATCTACATGCCCCCCTTGCCAAAAACGCCGCTGGTGTTCTCTTGGCAACCCGAACCAAAAGGCCAACAGGTCAAATCCAAATCGGTTAGCCCCCAGTGAGCATCAACCAATCCTCACTAACATAGACTAAATTGGGTGGTGAATTCACCGACCCCAAAATGGTACCATTGGTTTTGGACCCACAGCCACCTAAGTCTATGAAGTGCGATAAGCATCCTTCATCCTGGGGTTGATTGCGCGTTACTCTCAGCGTGCGGGGCAAGAACACAACGTGGACAAAGAAAGGGTGATGTAGCCTCGAGAAGAGTTTCCCTTTGAACTCCCTTTGGCACCGCTTCAAAAGGGGTAACATCTCCAAGAAAGCACACCTAAATGAGGTGTGTAAAAGAAGGGGGTACCAGTTTTGAACCCCGCTGCCCTAGAATTGTCCCTTTCAGGTGAGTCAGAAAAGGATCCCCAAGCAAATATGCATCCTGTTTGGGAACATCCTTACTTTATGGTTCAAAGAACCAATCATTAAGTACGTTCTTATGAACAGAACGCTATTAAAGGGATTCATTCAGCAAAAGGCAACTCGGTTTCACGTTGAATTACCTTCGAAACCATCAAACAAAGCAGCGACCCAAAAACAAGCAGCCCGGAGCTCGGCGGGACAAAAGAGCGCCCTTGTCGTTGGGGCTTCATGCTCAAGGAACTCCAAACACAAGTTGAAACAATGAGACCCCACTGCAAGTCTGGTATATGAGCCACCTTTAAGCTGACTTGTTCTCCCAAAAGAAGATGGCCAAACTACTAAGTCTGCGGGGAAAGGTGAATGAGTTCCCCAGGTCCTTCTCAAATAAACTACAAAACAGCAGCAATTCTGACCGAACCGCATGTGAGCCACAGTCAATATTTTCTTGTGCCCCCCGACTGACATCGGATTTTAACGAGTTTTCCTCCTTTCTTGATAACAGTTTACAAAGTGCCACCAATGTCATTCCCTCATTGGCCAAGTCCTCTGGTTGCGGGACAATAGTCCCCCCATTGCCATTCTCCAACGAAATATACCCTCCCCCAACTAACTTTTCGGAAGCTCCCGAACGGACCCAGTTGAGAGATGTGGCTCCATTTACCAGGGCTGCCCTCAGATCCCCCGCTAACAGTTTAACTTTTCGTGGGTTCAATGGAAACCACCAAACACTACAAAGCTAAAAGTCTAAGGAAGTCTAATGGCTGGGAGCCACCAAGTCACATGGGGCCAATGGGAGCTTCCGGCTGGCCGGAGGGAGTGTAGCTCTGCCAGCCTCTGAGCGCCCGGGCATGGCAGAAGACATGGGCGCGGAGCCCCGCGGGCCCGAGACCGGCGCTGAGAGCGGCGCGGAACGTGCCTGGCAGCTACGGGCCACGAGCGTCCGATTTGGACAGCTGGCAGCTGTGGATGGACGAAATCCTCTTAAGCAACCACCTAAGAAGCCCATGGAATGATGGTTCCGGTGTAAGGACCCACTTGAGGATAAGAAAACGCAGGAATGATGGTTCCGGTGTAAATAACAAACAGTGGTTTCCCATGGCTTCAAAGTGGTGCAGGATTTCGTCCATCAGCACGAAGTCTCGGCCCACGCTCTGGGGGGTTTGGAGCAGTTTTCAGGAGGAGCTGGTCTCTGCCAGGTTGGGGGCAGCTTTCAGAAGGGTTCCACAGGGTTCCAGAGGGTTCTGGGAAGTTGTTGGGGGGTTGATGAGCTATGAATTTCTCCAAGACTCCTGGACAAAACCATGTCGGAAAGGCCCTTTTCGGTTGGAACACCGAACGGACGGCAAGAATATGAGGCCACTACTATTTTGAAAACCCCCATTGTTCTTGGAGGTATGGCGCTTATGTACGTACCACATAGGGTGTATATGCTGCGTTACATGCTTCCATTTCTATAATGAGCATCCATAATCGCACGCAACACGAGTAGAAAGGCAGAGACAAGGGTCCGCTGGGGGTGCAGGTATGGAATGGGCAAACAACGGCAAGGCTTTGGGATACTCCAGTGAAAACAGTGTTCCCCAGTTTGGGCCCCGTTGAGGATGTTTGGTTGGGATACATACAAACACCCAAGCAGCCCTAAGCTCAAACCCGTGTCCGGCCTCTTCCACCACCGGCACGGGTAAATCCTGACATAGACACGGCTGGGGAGATATGGTGAAGCGGAGTCTCCTTCTGACCTCAATCAAAAACGGGTTGCAACCCAAATTCTTTTGGGTAGCCCAACATTTCAAAACTTTATCTGAAATTTCAAGGATCGAAGGAGACTCCCAATACCAATAACCTATGCCTACAACCATGACAAATTCTGGTTTCAAAGTGCCCCACCCATTTCTGAATATTTGAACGGCTTCTCGAAGGGGATCCTACTCTTGAACTTGGGGCAACACTTCCCGCTTTGAGATTGGCTTGAAAAGATCATTGAAATTTCTGGGGCTGCCCGAAATAAAGAGGCGATCCCAGCAAACAACGCCGCCCTTCAGGAGTTTCATTTATCTCAGCATCTCGGGGGCAGGGGGGTCCAAGTTTGTCTCTCCGAAGTATGTACGTGCGCCTGATGCAACATAATGTGGATGTGTGATTTCGGTGGTAGACGAAGCATCTGCTTCTGCTAGCCAATAAAAATGTCATTTGCCTTTTACACAAAATAGTCGTTTCACGCCGTCATGGTGAGCTCGTTTCAACCCAGGCAAGCTCGTAGTGGTTTGCTCAGATAAATACCTGGGGCCTCCAATCTGTTGCCCATTTGGATTTGGCATCAGGCAGAGACAGCTGCTTGCAAACAGCTGAAGTCATCATTCGAGTCCCGCTTTTCGGACTCCCAAGACCCAAGAAAATCTGGGTTGCTTCCCAGATTTAAGGGGAGCGCCATATTTCTACTTCAACGGGCCTCAATTTCAGCAGGGCCCCCAACAGCGAGGGGCACTCAACCAGAGACCCAAACCAGTCTCCAAACATGAAAAAGAAGGGGGCACTTTTTGCGGGTTGCTTTTTGAGGGGAAGCGCCCTAACCCTCACCGAAGGTCCGGACTGAAAAGCTCAAGCTCAACTTTCACTCTGGGCTCATCGCGAAAGGCGATGATGACCTGACAAAGGAAGATCGGAGGGTCGGGCATTGGACGGCCCTTTAAACATATAAATGCGCAAATGGCGGGCCTTTCCCAGGTAAATTCAGTGGTAGCACAATCTGCGCACAGCTTTCAAGTTGACTAGCTGGCTCGAAATGTCTATAAAGCTTTTTGGCCCCAAATCAAAACGATCGAACGACACTATCAGGGATCGATCCCCTTAGTTTTGGCAAGCGGTTCTTCCCCGAACAGACTAACGGCGAATCCGTGCTGGGGGGGGACGCTTGGTTTTTGGGTTGCCGTGACATTTCGAGTCCTTGAAATCCACTCGATCCCACACTTAGTCGAGGCTTACCCCGTGGTCTTTAAGTGGGGTAGGGAGGCGCACAGGGGTGCAACACCAAAGATCCCCAAAGAAAGGTCCACTTCCTGGGCGGATTGGCAAAAGAACATGTTTGCCACCCAAATGGACTTCCCCAAAAGTACAAAGTCTACGAACTCTGGGATTGATTCTTGGGTGGAGTTGGATCCTATGAGCAAATCCGACCCAAACAACCAGCTGCGTGGTTTCAGGCTCCCGTGCATCGGGGCGGACTCTGGCATAGGCGGTGGGAAGTCCTCTGGTGGCCTGGGGCGCGGAGGGGCCGGCTGCCAGCTCAACTCCCGGGCAGTACCAGTAGCTCACCAAGCGAAAACAGGTTTGGTTGGGGGGAAAAAAAACGCAGGCACGCAGGCACGCATGCACGGCACGGCACGGGTGTGGCACGGCATGGCACGGTGTGGTGTGGCACGGCACGGCTCGCACCCACGCGCGTCACAACAAATTGTCCTTGAACAAAACTTTGACGCAAATCGAATACACAGCAAGTGAGACGACTCTTCCTAGCAGGCAGGTCATTTTCCTTTCTGTGAGGAGCTCCTTTCGGCGGATTCGCGACTGAGGCGGATTGCGCCGCGTCTTGTGGCTGAGGAATCACGATGTCACGGACACTCCCCGCAAGTTTAATGGAATGGAAGCCCCAAGTCCGCGAAACAAGATTCTACACATCAGTGCCTCAGGGAGTTGTGGGTCTCCTAATCTGCAGGGGCGTAGTTACCCTGACATGCCCCAGAGATCCCAAAGCCAAACGGGCCTGGAATGAAAGGTAAAGCTATTGGCCATCATTGAAACAACTACAGAAACATTCTCAAATGGTCGGCTTTCGGCCTTCGGTCAGCGAAATATATCAGACCTACCCCTGAGGTGACATACAGGACCACGCCAGCCTAAGGTCAAACCCCGTAAGAGGGGCTTCAAAATCGCCACCCCCAACTCTGTTTCTTGGCCAAACGGATCCGATGCATGCCGCTCCAATTGTCAGTAGTGAATCCCCCGTTGTTTGCTTCTTCTTTAACAAACAAAAATGTAAGTTGTGTGATTTCCCCCCTTGCTTTTCCAAAATGGACGACTGACAATTCAGGAGACTTTTGACCAACATCTGTTTTGTGGCGTGGAAACCCATCAGGGAATCCACTGAAGAAAAAAGGATGAGGATGAATTCCGGTGGTCCATGGGTTGCTCTTCCCAGCGAGCAAGGTCGATCACCTTGCTGATTTTAAGATGGAAAAATCAGATTTGTGTCCAAAAGGTGACGGGGACATTCTGGGTTTCTCGTTTTCGAGGAAACCCCCGAGAAGGAGTTTGGTTTTCCTTTCAGGTCTTCCTTTAAAACCACCCAACAAAGGGGGTACCAACTCCAACAAAAAGGCGAGCCACCCCGCTTGGGGTTTCCCTTTCGGGGTTTCCTTTACAAAAAAGAACAAAGGGCGGTGCCAAGTCCACAAAAAGGCGAGCCACGCTGGGCTTCCCGCTTCTCTTCCGCCGGCGCCCGGGGCGCCGGGGGCGGCGCCGCGGCCGGTGCCTGCTGGGGATCTGAGGGGATCCATCGCGACTGTGGCTCGTATGGGGGTCCCCAGATTTTGGAATGCTTCCCATTTTGGTGGCTTTTTTGAAGCATCACCCAGAATGGGACCCATTTGAAAGTGAAGCGGGGGGGTCTTTCTGGCAACCTTTCCACCAAGGATCTACATGTTTGTTCCGGGGAACCCAATACAAAGGGCGATTTGGGGTCGCTCTGTTGTTGAGGGAACCTTCGAGAAGGATTTCGTTTCTCCTTTCAGGTTTTCCTTCAAAACCACCCAACACAGGGGGTACCAACTCCAAACAAAGGCAAGCCTCCCATGTCACAAAGACCAGCCAGGAGTTGGGTGGAATGGTTGATGCCCAAGACCTCAAACCAGTGGATTTCCAGTTCTTCTTGGCTTTTGCCCATCAGATGGTTGGAAAGGCGACGAAAGTCCAGAAACTGCCATCTGTGTTGCCCAGTTTCCCAGGCCAGTTGGGTTGGTTCTCATGACCAATGAACCCCTTGCGAGACCTCAAGGCTTTGAAAGCCAACCGCTGAATGATTTGGTGCTTTTCGTCGGAAAAGCAGGCATCACTGGACCACCATGTCCTCACAGAACTCCTGGTGGCTCCCCGAAAAAAGAGGCAACTACTTGGATACCCCAGCTGCTTGACTCCCTTCCAAGCAGCTACTGGAGCTCAGTACAGGTCAGGGACACCCTTTGCACCACTTGGGTGCGCCTCCTCATCACTTTGGACGTGTCCGCCGGGGCCGAAGGCGGGAGACCTTAGCCGTCGGCTTCACTGCAGCCGCCCCACCCAACGAGTGTTGCCGGGGTCGTTCTTGCTTGTTGTTGTTGTTGTTGTTGTTGTTGTTGTTGTTGTTGTTGTTGTTGTTGTTGTTGTTGTTGTTGTTGTTGTTGTTGTTGTTGTTGTTGTTGTTGTTGTTGTTTACGACTACTCTATGTTGGTTGACCAGTTTGACATGTTTACGTATTTGCCTTCTTGTGACTTGTGCCGTGGAAGTTTTGGTTGCAAAACGTGCACCGGCTTTCTCCGTTGCGCAAAGTTGTTCTGAGTTGATGTGGGACACCATCCCTCTACTGCGCCATGGATCTCCGCTTGGCCGTTCGACGCCTTCCCACGTTTCCCCGAACCACTCCGTAGAGCCTGGCGAAAGGACACCAGGCGCAGTTGGGTTCTGACTTGGGCATGAAATCCGCTGACTGCAAAGTGAGGGAGAGCGGAGAAGTCAGGTTCCGGGGTCAAGCCAGGAAATACCAACCCTCAGTTGCCCAAAGGAGCTGGAAACAAAAAGCTGACTTCCGGGGCCATGATTTAAAATGGACCAATGGGGAAACCAATTTGTCAAAAGATCGGCTTTGGGCCGTGAGAACCACGTAAAACTAAGTCCGGAACTCTCTTTAACGAGAGCTTCGATGCCTCGAAGGTCCCAATGTCCAAGGTTAAAATCGCATGTGTTTGGTTGGCTTACTTTTAAGGGAACCGGAACCCACCTCCAAACAAATAAAGGGGCTCACTATGGCCACTGGAGGTCGGCTTGCTAGTTCCACCGTTTCACGTCTCGCAAGACTAGGGCCACCACGTCGGGGAGGGCACGTCGGTGGGCACCTGGAATCACAACTTAGACCTTTGGATGTTCAAGTTGCTTAGGTTAGAACCGCACTAAGGCAAACTAAGGAGGCCAACCTCAGCTACCCCACTCAAAACCATGGTTGCAACCTACTTACTAAGTTGACTGAAGATCCAAGTGCGCGTTGCCCTGGCGCCAAAGACGCAACAGTTGCCTTTATGTGGGTAAGTAAAGGAGATGAGCAAACCAAACTGGGTTGGAAGTGTGCAATCTACTGTCACTCCAACTGTAGGCGGATCAAATATGTCCTAGAACCCGATCTAGCCGTTCATTCGTATCCGATCTAGCCGAATCCAGCCAGCAATCTACTGCTCCATAGCAACCCCAGTCAAGGGTTTGCACGTGGGCTTACTAGGTGGTGAGGTCAATTCTAGGCCATCTTGAGTCCAGCCTGGCCCATGGAGGTATTTTGGTTCAAAGAAGCCCTTTCTGAACGTCGTCTCTGTTGTTTCCGGGGGTACTCAACTGTCCTTGTTCCATGTTCCCTTGTGCAGTGCTCCCTTCCACTATTCCTCTTCGTTCCTCTTTGTCTAAGGGAAACCAACAAAAAATCCGACCAAAGTGGAGCCGTGTCTCTGAGTTTAAGTGTCCCCAAAGAACTGCCGCAGGTTACTTCGCAACTCTACATATCAAGCGTCCAGCACCGGAAACGACAAAGCAAGCAACAAATAAAATGGCCGGCGTTACTTTCCATCCACCTGGAGTCTATTAGAGTCCCTTCAAAGATGGGGGGCTCAGAGGCTCATGACCCAAAAGAAAGGGGTTGTGGCAAGCCATGGTCAAAGGGTCATGGAGACTCCATCTACTTACCATCGGTAACCCTTGCTCTGCAAAGGCCAACTGGGCGCGGCCACTTTGGCCAGGATACCCGCACCGGCATGCGGTCGCGTTTCAGAAAGCTCCAGTGAAGTCTACGCAAGGAACCAATGCATGCCACCAACCATATTTTTTGGAACTCAATGGCCACCATGGTTGGTTTAAGCTCGTATAGCCCCCAGGTCGTTATGTCATTTGTCCGACTGATTGCACACAACGACCCGCTGTGGTCATGAAAAAGAAAGCAGCACCCGGCACCCTTGTGTTTGGTACTAGATGTTGAAAGGGACCCCGCGACCCCCCACAAAAAAAATCAACAAAGGGGGGCCGAAGGTTGGGGAACGAGAAAACCGAGCACGGCTTCCTGGCTGCAGGTCTGTTCTGTTGCAAATGTGTCGAAAAATGTGCTAAGGCCCCTGCAGGCATGTCGGTGGGTGTGTGGGGCGCAGATTCCATCCTTGTGCGCGCGAGAGGCATCCTCTCGCAGGCACTTCTCAGGTGGCATCCCGGAGAGTAGGACCATCAATCAGAACCTTTCGGCCTGTCTGATATACGCTCATGAAATATACTAGCTGACTTGATCATGGGTAAGATTGCAAACGCTCTTTACGTTCTCGCTGTAAGTTGACCATGTATAAAACACATCTCATATATATATATATATATACATAATACAGTGCATTGACATCGCCTCACTCAAAAGAGGCCTTGACCTTGGGAAGCGTTTGCAAAAACTCTTCCACATGCGCTTGCCCAATGAAGTCCAATCGAAAGTCGGGGATCCTAGCACACGCCCAAAGACAAGCCCCAACGCCCCCCCAACCTTCAAGTGGGTGTGCGTGGAATGGGTGCCGTATTCTTTGGTGGACATCATTTAGGTGCTCCTAGCCAAATACATGTACATGTGTGGCTGTGGGTCAAAAATGGGTGCCCAAAACGGAGCCCTGGCAAATGGAAACATGGACTAACAGATGCGGTCCAATTCCTGGTGCTTTGATTCCGACCCATGCCCATATGAATATACCATAAGCCTTGTTGAGGCCTTGGGTCTTGATCCCAAGATCCCAACCCGCGACCTGAGATTCGCGGCAACTCCAGCCCTTGAGGTCTGGGTAGGGGGATCGCTGGTCGTCCAAGGGATGGTGTCGTTTGTACCGAACCAAAAGGTGACTTCGATTCGGCAAGTGAGAAAGACTGTGGGTGAGTATCTTTGAGGGTCCCTCCTTTTGGGCTTCAAGGAGAAAAAAAGAGAGACCGAGCTGGGAAGTAGAAACCAACAGGGCCAGTCTTCACACAACGTTTGGGGTTGGGAGGGGCCTCTCTGGTCCCGTGTCAAGCCGTTCAGCCAATTGAGTAGCTTATCACTGGGGTGAATGGGGTTAGTGCTGTCTGCAACCGTGGATATGGTCTAGTGAGTCGCTTGACACCTTCTCAGTTGACTGGCTAGAACAAGTTCAGAGCCTTGTTGGCCCTTAACAGACGTGATTCATGATGAAGCTTGGCACTCGCAAGTTTTAAGTGGGTGTGAAGTTTAATGGAGGACCCTTTGGGAGACATCATTTAGGTGCGGCTTCTATGTCCAGCCACATTTGAGGTGGTTCCAACTATGAAAAATCGTAGCCAAGTCGTAGAAACTGCACTGGTTCTGATGGGGACGGATGCGCTCGGGCCATCGCAGAAGGCCGCTGTCGTCCATCAGCAGTGCAGATTCCACCTGGGGAACCTGGGCTCCGGAAGCATGGCTCGCCTGGATTTGCAAGAAAAAGGCTGCACTTGTGGAACCCTGCTCCCCCAACCCCAAATTTTTGTGGTGGTGGGCATGTCCTGATGTGCTCACGTCGCTGCGCGCCTCCTCTGCAGCAACAGCAGGCCCTGGCCCGGGCCTTAGGAGGAAGTGGGCACCCAATTTGTCATTTTGCTTAGCTACCCTTTTTCTGTAGTCTGTTTTAGTAGGGGAACCCTCCCCCAAAAACGGGTACAAGGACACTACTGGGGGACCTAGTTAGACTTCTATGAAGGATGATCACATGGTCCTTTACATGGGGATGACTATTGGCTTGGCCAAACCAGCAACAAAAAACAACAAAATCGCAGACCACATGGCAAAATGCCGTGGATGCTGATCAATCCCCGCTTTTTGTGGATACATGGAATTCCACCCTGTTTAAGCTGGCAGGGATCTCTGTTCAATCAACTTAGTAAGTAGATTGTAACCTTGGGTACAGGTGGGGTAACTGAGCTTAGTCCATGGTTCGAAATCTACGTACTTAAAAGCTAGGTGGCTTGAACATCACCATAAGTGGGATAACATGGGGTAACTTAGCTTAGTCCCCCGAAAACCATGGTTCGAAATCTACGTACTTATTAAGTGGCTTGAACATCCAGGTAAACCAGTCGCAGATCTTCGAACACCCGACCAACGCCAAGCCGTCGTTCGGGTTTCCGGCGGAGGAAGAGTCGGCACGGTGAAGGTGCCCTGGGGCACAGGTACCTCAGCGAGAGTTTTGTCGCTTACCCGGCAAGCCACTATACTCAATTGCCCAAAGGACCGAAAAACGCAAGGTTAACCTTTCCATCTGTGAGATCCACCCAAAGAGTAAGAGCCACCTCGAGTCTGCTCCTGGAGTAGACCCTGAAGGCTTGGCTCCCGGCATCCTCTTCACCAGGCTCAGTTTCAGCACGGGCGGACTCCACCTCTTCCTGGCGACGCGGTTCGCAGCTTTGCAAACCGAAAACTGCAAACCTTGCGATCGGTGCAATAGGTAGGGAACCACCAAGTCCGGGTGTTGGATGATACCCTAGCCCAAGACCTCATTATTTCAGGCCTTTGGGGGTCAAGGCCGCAAGGCCCTCATATTTAGGGCCTTGGGCTCCTAGGGATAGGTAGGGAACGACCGATTCCGGTTGTTGGATTCGATTGCTCCGATTAAGGAAACACAGGGGATGGTTTGTAAGGATCATTCCCTTCATTCCCTGCTGAGAACCAGTACGACTGGGAATCGCTGGCCGAACACCATACACCTTCCCAGGTCCAAGTAGACCCATTTCTGCCGAGGCGGTTCTCATCATGAAGCTATCAATGGTGTAGCTATCAATAGTGTACAAGTAACTCAAGGCCTCATGCAAGAGTGAGGCTCCTTAGTAGCACCAACAAAATAAGACACCCCGCGAGGACCTTCGTCATGAGTGAGCGCGCTTTCCCGCTGTTCATGAAATTTAATAGCTCCCTTATCAGCTCACTCAGTGAACATTCTACAGGCAAGGGAAGCCAGAAAACTCCCAGAAAAAGAGCAAATAAGGAATCCTAAACACTTCTCTTAGACGAACCATGCAGAAAAAGGACCAAGTCCCTGCTGAAGACTCTATTTACAATGCGACTACAACACCTGAAAGGGATCCGCGACTACATTTGGTGAGCAATGAGCATGTTTTACCTCCAAAGCTCGCGGTCAGCAGTGGTTTTGGACCGCTCTGAGTTGGTCTTTGACAGAGCCCCTGGCAAAAGCTCAAAGTGTTGGCCCTGGTGATATCAAAGTAGGGGATCCCCTGCCAATGTATCACTTCAAAGGTGTCTTTTCTGTTGGTATCACGGGCATTCCCTGCCTATTGGTTTTTCTTGAAAGGATGTTCCTTGCTGTCATGAAAATTGGGCCTCAAAACCATAGGCCCTGACCACTCCTAGTGGCGACTCACAAAACCAACAGGGCGAAAGTGCCAGGGGTGCCGAAGTGAAACTCATCCCCACCTCGTGTCAGGGGTCCTCAGATTTGTCCCCATGGCCACAACCCCATTGAAAGGAGTCCCAATCTGAAAATGGCCAAACGAATGCTTGGATGTTCAACCAACGTTCTGCAAGTAGTTGGTAACCGTGGTTTTAGCTGGCTGTTTCTGGGGGATCGTCCCCTTATAATCATTGTCACCACCTACTAAGTGGATTGAACTCACCCAAGTGTGATGTTCCAATCCCAGCAACACGCTGGCGCCCACGCTGAACCAAGCAGGCCCACGCCGGCGCCTCGACGGGCAAATCGAATCCATCCTGGGCCCAGGCTGTCACGAGAGACCAGGAGGAACCCCTTCGCCTTGTTGCCGCGGCCACAAAGTTTGCAACTTGTTGCCTCTACCAAGATCCAGCAAATTTCTATGGCCCAGCAAGTTTCCATGGGGAAAACGGAGATCCGGATGCAATGGATCCACCTGGACATTGCAACTTGTTACAAGGGGGTTTCCAACTTTACTTTGGTGCAAAAAAAGCCATGTTTCAAATGGTGGCAAAATGTATCTTTTAAGGAGCCCTGTCTATGGAGATGAGTAAATTCGGGACTTCCTTCGTTGTGGGAAAATGTAAAAAGAGCAGCTCGCTGGCAATCTTTATTAAACCTCGGGTGTATCGTTTGGAGGTGTCCTGGGGTTATTTGGAGGGAAGGCTCAGCGGAAACCCCGGAGACACCGCCTGAATCGAGGGTTCCCACGTGCAGAGTCAAACTCGTACTCCTCCCTTAAGCATCACCCAGCCGAAAGAAACTCACTTCAAACTGGCCAGCAAATGCGGTTGTCTAGGCAGACGCAAGAAGACATTGGCGAGCCAACAAGAAAACTCGCCATCAAGGATGCGGACTTGTCGTTTCTGCGCATTCTGTCCGCAATGTAGCCGGGGAAATACCCTGACGCCCTTTCTCTCGTTGATTTCAGGGGTCCTCCGGCCAAACTCTTTGTTGGTAGTTGATGTTCAAGGAAAGCGCCAAAAGCAAAAGGAACAAGGAAGTGCACCAGGAACAATGCTCCAGGTGTCTGGGTCTAGTCGGAGGGTTGCAAACCGTCCAATGCGGTCGCGCCTGATCTGCCGGCGACGTTGCATGTGGCTGCTCTGTTGGCACAGGCCTCACAGCGATGTGAGGGTCGGCGTGCTTCCCTGAAACAAGTTTTGCGGCACCCCGAACCTCACTTCCCATCCCATTTGTGATTTCCTAGGAGTTCCCGTTCTTAAGTCATACCCCGTTGTTTTTGTTGAAATTCGCAATAACCAAACCCTAGCCCGTGGGGAAAACGGGGTATAGACCCTTTATATGTAGTAGTTGTGGGGCTTGTAAAAACAATTTGGAGGCACCGCCCAAATGTTATTCGTGAAGCCCCCCCCTTCTCTAGGCTAAGGAGGTCTGTTGAACCGCGGGTGAAATGAAGGTTTTGGGATTGCGAACCATTTCAGGATAAATCAACGCCTGGTTGACTAAGACGGTCCTATTTTGGAATACCTACAATTTTGGAGAAAACAACCAGCTATAAATCCAATTGGCTTTGAACAATCCGAGGTCGACATTGGCTACCATCCTTTAAACACCAAAAGGAAAATGGCTGGTTGTACCTGGGCTAGGTTTTGTTCGGTGTTTTAGGTACCCTCTCGACACTTTCTGCTCTTACAAGCACAAAATGCTGAGAGGGTACCTAAAAAAACCTAGCTGGGGAGCAGAAAGTGTCGAGAGGGTACCTATAATGGGAACAGGCATCCGCTGGGCCATCAAGAAAGCACCCTAAATCTTCTCGTACCCCCTGATTTGGCTCACATCTGGGGTACTCCAAAAAATATGTGAGCAGTCCCATACTTGGGCGTGGCTGAAAATTCAGGAGCTAGGGATACGCAGGCTTTGGTCTTTGGAGGGGTCCATTTGGGTACATGTTTTTGAGTCACCGCCATTTAGCCAATACAAGATAGTAAACATAGTCTTGGCTTGGAGACCCCAGGTAAGGATCTTGCAGCTAGCCAGAAGCAGACAGGTCTACTCGTGGGCGGGGTTTCTGGGCCCCTGCATCTCTGAAGGCGAGCGTGCCCGTGCTGACGAGCTGAGCCTCGGCTTCCCAAAAAGAGAGATGCGTTGCAAGGCCTCTCGCACTTTGCATAGAAATGAGACCGAAACCAGCACCCCCCCCCAATGCCAAAAAAAAACAGTCCTTGGGAAAGGCTAAATGGATCTAAATCTGTTTTGAGGCTTCCCTGTTTGGGTGCTGTTTTGACTGGAAGCCAACGGGAAACCACTGATATTACCTATTTTTTGTTGTGGGGGGGGGGGGGGGCAGAAAACGCCAGCGTACCCATCCCATCCCCTTTTCGATGCCTTTTAACTTATAGAACTGGGTTGAGGTTTAATTAAGGGGAAACAAGGAAGCTACATTTTTAGGGGTCCCCGATTTTGCCCTGCCAACGGAACACCTCGTCGTTCAAGGACCTTTCAGACTTTCCCTTTCTACATGGATATGTGCTAAATACGGGGACCCCCGAAATGAAATGATTCGCTTCCCTGGTGGCTTCGATGAGCTGAATGCCTTTGCCTGGGTGGAAGATCATGCCAAACGTCTTGGCCTTGAATAGTTCATCCCCTTTAAACAGTTGAGCAAAGGGGAAACCCCGCTGGAGGTCTGGGAAATGGACATGCTAGGTCGGACAAAACTCCCCCGAAAGGCTAGGCTCAATTTGGAAAGAAGTTGACGAATTCTATGTCAACGACACAAACAGCGAAACTCAGATGTTCGTGCGTCCACTGCTACTTGGATGACCCTATGAGTGACAGGAAAGAACTCTGGTCCAGAGACTGACGCGAGTAGGGTAAATCCTAGCAAACTTGGTAGCGAGAATTGGTAGCCAGCTACTAACAGGAGTAATCATCCAGCCAAGTAGAGATGGGTGTCGGTAAATTAGGTTTTGTCCTGATTTTTATTGACATTTCCTTGCCAAATTCTAGTCGGGATATGTCACCCTGAATTAAGAGTCCCCAAGGGGATCCTTCGAGTAGTTCAGCCCAAGCACCTCCACCGCCCCCCATGGATCGCGCAAAGGATCCCCTTTCGTTTGGTGGAGCAACCCCTGCCTTTGGGTTGCCACGATTCAAAGAGGGAAGGGTGCCACTGGAAAGCTGGACCCAGTGGAAGTTCCAGCTGTCTTCCCCGATTCTAACCTCAGAAAGGTTGCTTGTTTGTCTGCCTGTCTCTCACAAAAAAACTAAAAAACAAACAAACAAAAACATCAGACATCCCGGGCAACGACTATCACCGCCCGCGTCACGCGCACGTTTGTTGAGAGCACAAGTCCTCAGTGAAGCTCGTAACACGATCCCCGATGCGTCTTTTTTGGCGGGATCCTTTGGGTGTTCTTTCTAACACCACAGAAAACATGTACCCGTAACATATGATACACCCATGTGTCTTTTGGGGCAACCAGAGCCTTCTTGGAAGATCCTACAATGTGACCACATTCTTGAGGGAACACCACTGCCGTGTGCGACCGACCCCGTAGCGGTCGCTGGTGCGGAAAAACACAACCCAGTCCTTTCATTTCTCTGTAATGAAGGTATCGTCAAGGGAACCGGTCTTTACAACTAGAACGGCTGGTCATTACCTACCGCAAGCGCAACTGGGATCCACTGGTCAAGGTTTGGACTTGGGAAGACCTACCCTCAGATTCCCTTCGGAAGATCTGATGCCTGAGCGCCGGGACAAAGCGCTATCCCGCGGCATGGGTGTGTCCTGGATTCTTCTGGACACCGTGTTGTTGGAGTTCGGTGGGTTGCTAAATCAGCTTAGACCTTGTGAGGTGACTGGCTGACCTTGTGAGTTGACTGGCCAAACAAAGTCTGAACTTCTTGGATCCTGACATTCGGGTTTCCCAACAGCTTAACGCTTGCCAACTCAACAGGCAAGCAGAAATTATCAACGGCTGGGTCGGGTTGGCCACCTGACAAAACCTTGTTGGAAGTCCACTTTCCCTTTTCTAAGATGCATTCCACCACACCTCAGCACCACTACTCCAAGTACAAATGGGGGTACAGTTTATATGCTGGCTATGTAGCGGTTATGTAGTGGTTGCACAGTAGTTGTACAGTATAGTTGTGTACTCCTCTTCTGCCTTGGGGTAGTGCTTCGAGGGTAGACTTTTGGACTGGAAAAGGGTCAGTCCATTCCTATGTGTGCTGGGCCTGCTAAGGGAAAAAAGAAACAAACCCAACTGCCTACCCAAAAATAATTGTCATGATCAAAAAAACCGTGGAGTCAAAAGGCAAGCCCGAACTGCTGTCACTTAGTTCCTCTAACACGTGGTTGGTGCATGTTGCTGTCACCCTCAAAAAAAGACCTCACTCCCTGAGTGGATGGACCCAAAAGAGTCTGAGCTTCTCTCATTTGCCACTAACATGGCCTTCGCAAAAAGTGACTCAAGTCCAAGAACTGAGGAACCTTCGCAAAAAGTGACTAACTAGGTCCTCCAGTGGAGAGGTTCGAACAAGGGCACCCTTTTTTCCTGTAGTCTATTTTAGTAGGGGAACCCTCCCAACCAAACAAGTTGGTAAAAGAGGGCACCAATTGCTGGGGGACCTAGCAAAAGTCCAAGAACTCAAAAAGTGAGAGACAGACCCACGTCTTCGCCCCAAAGGCCATTGGGACACCAATGCGGCCCTGCGAAGGCGAGTCTGCGGAGCCTGCGGCGCCTGCGGCGGCTGCAGCTCGTCCGTGGGGAAGTCCTCCGGCTCCGGCACGTCTGCGGGAGACCTGGGCCACGAGGCGCCAAAAGGGAGCTTGCCATTGGGGTCTGTGCCTGTTGAGGGAGTTCTCCCCCGTTTTTGAGAGGGTAAAGGTAAACCGTTGAGACACCGAGGAAGTTCCTGTTGAGGGCTTCTCCTGTCCTTTTTTGGGGCGGGAAAGGTAAACGGTTGAGACACCCAGACACCCATGCGGGCGGGGAAATCACCAAACAAAACGGGAAAACGGGATCCGCTGGACGACACACTATATATATATATATAGAACATTCATATTATGTTGTTTGGCAGGTTTTGCCCCCAACCAAGGGTAAAATGAGATCCCAGTGTTGGAGTTGACCGTTTTGTGGGGACCCACCAAACCACAAGGGATTGCCACTGGACAACTGGCCTTTCGCTTGCCCTTGCTGTGCCAACACGTCCCCCTAACATGGCGCCCGCGGCGGGATAGCTGGACGAACTTGCTGGAGGAACCTCCTGTCACATGCAAGGAAAGAAAAGAACCACAGACCGACCAGACAAATAAGGCAAACTAAGACAAATAAGTTGGTCAAACAAGACTAACCAAAGAATAAGTTTGATCAAACAAGGCGAACTAAGACATTACTCCCGGGGGGGAGGGATTTCTAGGAAAGGAACCTTCATCATCATTGAGTCATGGGCGAGGACTCCGTCTGGTAAGATTGCCCATTTTCTCAGAAGAATCTCTGTTGCTTCTTGGCTTTCCGATGAACAAATGCGCACATCCCTACGCTCACCAAGAAGGTATGGCCTTTGAATGCTTGGAACCACGGAATCTCTTGTTTAAACTCTCCACCCCGGTGGAATCACGCCACATGTTCTGTACAAATTGCTGGGTTGTCTGCTGGTCTCCCTTCAGTGTCCAACGCCCTGGTATCACAAAACGCCCTGTTTGCAGGCCCGCAAACCAAAGTCTCCGCAAACGTAGGGGCCTTCTGTTGAAACTTCCCAAATAAGTCCATGGACCTGTCCTCTCACAGCTTTCCTGGGTCCCCACGTGGGCGAAGGCATGTCAGTGGGCACTGGCATCTCCTGAGGCCGATCGCACGCTCGCATCCGCGTCTCGACAGAGTGCCACGGACCTAAAAGACCTCAAACTCCAGGCCAGTCGCCTTACCAAGGAACATGGCTCGAATCTAGGTTTCTCAATTGAATTGGCATTTCGGTGTCAAACCGCAAAGGTCAAACACCACCCTCAGCCTTTTGGGTCGCTGAAATCGCCAAGATCTCTACATGAATCACTTTTTGCAAACAAACGGGGTTTAAAAGGTAACAAGGTTTTAACTCCGGTAAGTGTGGTGATGGTCCCCTTTCGTCCAAACCGACAATCCTTCACGCAAAAGAATGAGTGAGCCGAATTCGAAGCCCAACGCCGCCCAGTTGCGGTGGGTGAAGGCATGCGCTCAGCACCTCGGACCCGCGCAAGCGCTCAGAAGAGCGCTAAGCCCTTCCTCCCACTTGGCTATGGGTCAAAACCCAAATCGTACTCCCAGTGAACATCCCAATCCCTACTAAAATAGACTAAAATGGGTGGTGCACCTACCCCAAAATGGTCTTCATGTCCCACTTACACGACATCCATTCAAAGCACTGCAATTGGCTTCAACACCCAACTGCCACAGTACTCAACCACTCAACCAGATGGGTGTGTGTGTGTGTTTTTTTGTGGTTCGGGGACCCCCAAATAGTGGTTTTCTTTTTTGGCTTTCCTTTAGAGCACCAACAGGGTACCCTCGAATGAAAAGCACACCCAGACCGCGCGCAGACTTTGTCTTTGTGACGGCCACGCGCGCTCGTTGAACCCTGAGGTCCTACGGATCCACATATGGCATGTGTGCGGAGCATGCCGCTGGGTACGACTCTCAGATCAACGCACTCTCGGCTCCCCGGCTATCCGGAAACACGGCGCTCACCGGTGGCTTCCTGGAAGAATATGAACCACCAACCTGATGATTGCCACATCCCTTGGCCCAAAGCTGGGGTGCAGAAAATCAGAGGTTCAGACTGAGTGCCGAAAAAAATAAAATAAAAATCTACGCCATATAGAATATGTTTGGAAACTCAGGTAAGGGGTCCATGCCTGCCAATCCCAAGAGGGGTTTCCCAGACCCACGGAGAGTAAGGCCGCCGACCCTCCGGAAAAGAACAGGATTCAGAAGTCCGAAATTAAGCTGTTTGCCACTCAAATCCCAAAGGTATGAAGTCAACCCGGGTTTGAGTTAAGCCTCACATCACTCCAAGACGTGAATTCAGAACGCCAAACAAGGGAGCCATGCATTATGCCGGGAAGCCATGGATTAAAATCACCGCTCGTCTGGTTGGTGCTTGGTAGGACACCTACCCTCACCCTCACGCGACCATTGAAGTTAGTTGCAATCATGTCTGTATTCAAACCTGTTGGACCTCGTAGAGACCTTCCTCAAACGTACGCGTTTTCTCGAAGGGCCCTGGGTATGGCGCCTCATATCCCTGAAGCATATATGGGTGTGGCTCGAAATCAAAGAGCCAGGGTTACGCAGGTTTTGGTCTTTGGTTCCATTTGCCAAGGTGCGATTTGGGTACATCTTTTTGAGCCACAGCCATATGTCCCTTGTGGCATGGGCGTACATGGCCATGGGCCATCCAGTCCTGGGCGACTGTAAATCGCTGGGCACCGGCATCTCCGTGGGCGACTTGACTCGCGGACCTCGGCCCCATGACTTCCCTGGGGAAAGGTATGGAACAAAATAGGCTGGGCTGGCCTCAGATCCCCCAAGAGCTGAAACAACTTGTGGAGTAGATGGACACCCAACCACCAAACCAACTGAAAGCAACTAAGAACCTCAGGAACCGGGACGATTCGCTGGGAACAGCCAAGGAAATGTACGGACCCAAACCCCGAAAACTGCCTCTTGCAATTGCAAGAGGGAGGCTTGGGCGCACCTCACTCGGCATAAATACGGCGACTCATTCCCAGGAAACTGTCCCTAGCCCTTTCCGGTGTGGCTGTTTGTTCAAAGCAAAATCAAAAGGAAGCAAGAAGTGGAGGGCCTCAGAATTTGAGACATGCTGAACATGTTTGTGGGGCAAACACAAACAACAACGTGCAGCAATCAAGCACAATACAACGCAACGCTGCGATCCTCCACCGGGACAAACACAGCAAACTCACGCACAAGCGACAACACACAACACATTGCGCCAAACAAACACCAGCTCAATGCAACTCATCTGAACAACACACACACACCACAACAAAACAAAACAAACAAAAGACACGCAGCCGACACGCAGCCAAACAAACTAACCTGAATTCAATGAACATAGACTCTGTGATCAACACAATGCAAAAAGCAAAAACCAGGAATCAGTCAATCAACAAACACCAAAGCGACTCGCCGACACACCCACCCGCGTGCCTCTCGGCGGGAGGTCGGACACCTGCCGAGTGACTGGTGGGTGGAGTCTGTCTTCGCTTCACCCCCTCCCCCACGCCAGATCTATAGTAGAATCTCTCTCGGGACATCTATCTGCTCCGGTCAAATTGATTGAGCATGGAGGGCACCCCTTTCCTTACGTCCTCCTGAGCGGATAGTCCAAAATAATAGTCAACTTTTGTTTATCACTACGGTCTTACCAAAAGTATAAAGTCCAGGAACTCAAGAAGTGAGCTCTTGGTTCCCCTTCGAGAACACCCCTTTCTTCATCTTCTTCAATGGTTCCAACAAAAACCCCTTCTTGAACAAAGCCCTTTGCTCCTTCTTTGGCAGGAACCCTTCTCCTGGTTCCATGCTTGTCAACTTGCTCCTTGAGAGGGCCAAACAGGTAAATCACTGCTGTTGGTCGACGTCAACAACAAAAACGAAACTGCAGGAAGCCACAAATGTGGGGAGGGCTATGAGTCAAAGACCAACCTCCTTGTGCAGCGTACTTTCCATGGACCACTTGACCATGCTTTAGGGGATTGCAGGAAGGCTTGGGACCTGGAACGGACAAGCTAAAAATGTTCTCGAGGGGTCTGATTGCTTTCGGAGAAAGGCTGGCTGGGTTCTTGGAAAGCTCAAACATGCTCTAACAATACTCCAGAGCGACCTAAAATGGAGGAAAAAACACAGTGCAGCAGCATGTTGGAACAGAACACGCTGCATTTTCTCGAGGCTGTTGACTGGTTGTTTGGCCCGAAAAGGCCCATTTTGAGGTACGTTAGGGTTCTTAGGGCATCATGTGAACTTGAATCCATTGACTCGGCCACGCCTCTCCTGTTTGAAAGAGAGCTCCGGAGATCCTCAGAATGTCATGTGTTGCTGTTGAAAAGAGAGCATCGAGCAGGAACCGACTTTCGGGAACGCCCTCCAAAGAAATAAACAGTTTGGAAACGGTAACCTCCATTTGCTGTTGTCTCCGGGAGGTTTAGAAACATGTCCGGCAGTGATAGATTCCCTGAACAGCCAACCGCCGAAATGCAAACTGCTCATGTCAGCCAATGGAAGATATAACTCTGTTTTATGTCCAAGCAGGCCCAATCAATAATATAAAAGGTGACTCTTTCCCTTTGACCATCAGCACTGCCTGTGCCCGGGCAGTGGCGGCAGTCAGCCGCGCAGCCTGAAATTCCGACGCTTCTCTTCCCCAAATCAAGCTGGACACCTTGCTAGACCCAAACCCCCAATAGTGGCATTTAAAAAACTGCCTCTTTTTGTTAGTAGTTGATCTTACAGGCCCCAACAAAGGGAAAACAACCACGGGCACTGGAGGTTGGGATAGAATTCACAAACCGGAACTAACCTAGGTCCTCCAGTAGCCAGGTTAGAATCAGGGTACCCGTTTTTTGTCTTTTCCCTGTAGTCTATTTCAATAGGGGAACCCTCCCCAAAAAAGGGTAAAAGGGCACTACTGGGGGACCTAGTAACTGCAAACAAGACATCGAAGTAAGGACCCTTCACTGGCTGAGCTCGCTTGACCCTGTGAGCTCGCTATTGCCCGGAAGCACTTTGGCCCGTTGACTGCCAATGAGTTGTCTGCCTGTTTTTGGGGGAAGCCTTTTCGAATGCCTGGAAGTCAACCCGAGAAATTCTACCGCCTGCACTGCATGGGTCCCCCAGTTTGAGAACGCAAGTCATAGGTTGGTTGGCTCGACTCAAGGGAGTCCCCGGAGCAAACTTGGACATAGACCGCCTACCAAAAACACGTCTGGTTGGTTCATTCCGGAGAAGACGGGTTGTTGTTGCAAAAGAGGGGAACCCTAAAAATGGTACGGGGACCATCAAAAAAAGGGAAACACCCTTTCAACCACACCCGCAATGCAACTTCTGAGCAAACGCCGGGTGCCCTGCAAAGATGGGGAGATCTGTCGGCTCCTGCATCCCGCGCGCGCGCGAGCAAAAGCAACCGCCACACACACACATGGAATGCAGTACACAGGCTCCTGTACCCCCAATGTGCCTCCATGTTCTGCCCTTGTGCCGCATTGTTGGTAGGTCAGAGCCAACAAAGGGAGGTCCACTTCGGGTCCAAGCTCAAACCCATCCAGGACCACGACTGAACTGAGCCTCTCTGGTGTGGATCTGGATCGTGGGGAAGGTTGCCGTTGGCTGCCTCAGACTCCGAACGAGAACGACCTGAAACAGAGAATCGGCCAATCCGGCAACTCATCTTCTACCTGCGAATGAACCTGATGAACCTGATGAACCTGTAAACTCGTCTTGCCCGGCCCATGGACTCGGACCTACACTCCCTCCTTCCATACGCACCTTAGCCGTTGATCTCAGCCCCTCACGTGGGAAGCGACTCCGTGGGCAGTGGCAGCATGGTCGCATTCTCTTCCTGCGGCAAAAACCGGAAAAAAAACGGCCATGGCCCCCCTGAGTGGGCGCTTCCTGAGCCAAAACCCGACCACTTCCGCAGGTTCTGACACTCGCCCCCATTGTGGTCTGGAGGTTCTAGAGAGAAAATTCCCGTCATACCCTCTACGAGAAGCAGGTGTTCATAACCAAACCAATCCAAACTACCAACTAAGGCTTGCCTGAACAATTCAAGTATTGCGGTGCTTGAATAGCACTGCTCGAAAACCACAAGTAGTGCCCATTGACAATTGCCTACTAGTTGCCTAATTGCCAATTGCCCAATTGCACAGTTGCCCAATGATTTCCACATCACCTGATGGGGTGCCGGAAAGTACATTGGGGTTTATCTGGTGCCGACTTGCCAGCTTTGAGCAAGCTCAAATGACAGCCGACAGCTTTACTTGCCCAAATAATCCGGCAAACAGAAGGTCGCCATATTGGAACTTTGAAGAAACATTCACCACGAAGGAACAAAACCATCGAGTGGATGTTGCGTCGAGCCCCAAAGTTGGGCGTGGTTTCTGGGCGGACCAAAGAAAAACCACCCATGGTGTTTGCGGCTCAACATTTGGAGACTGTTTGGAAAGGCACGCATCTTCTCAATGAGTTTTGGTTTTTGGCTTCCCGAACCACTCCCAAAGAGGCTTCGACCATCAGCAAGTGAATCATCAAAAACAGTGAGGGAGGCTACGCGGCTACACCCTTTCTCTCACAAATTTCATGGCACAGGCGATTCCATGGAGCTCCCCAATTTGCCGCCGATTCGCCTCGCTCTGAGCGCCCAGTGAGGTAGGGGACGGCAGCTCAGTAGGCACCTGGCACGGGTTTCCAAGGAGGGGACCTGCTGTGGTCAAAAATCGTTGGGAACCGCAAAATGAGTTGCTTCTGGATGGGGAAAGCACGAGAATCTGCGGTCTTTTGTTCTTTCTGGTGCTTTATATTCATTTCCTTGAATCGGGTTGGGTACTTCTTCAGCTCTGATATTACCTTGGAACTTAAAGTTCGTAGGGGAAACCTTGGTGGCACGCTGGCAGTGTCAGTCAATACCTTTCGGATAGATGGATGTTCTGAGAATTCCTCCTAGGACCTGAACGAAAGGGGAGCAGACCATCCCAAAGACTCCAAAGTTTGAGGGGTCAAACCCCAACGAAAACTTTGAGGGCTACCCTGGACTCTGACATGATGCAACTCGTTAGTGGGACATCAACACACCTAACAAAATCAAGGGAAACCACTGTCTGCTAGTACTTCCAGGGGGAGTTATCATCCCATGGCAGGAATTCGTCCAGTTACAGCAGGGAATCTGGCAAAGGCCACCCCCGGTCACCTCATGGGTGTGTTGCTTTTTGAGTTGGTACTCCCCCCCCCCCCCATGTTAGTGGGTTTTAAGAGACACCAGGACGAAAAGCGTTCAGCCATTTTGTGGGGCGCCCCCGATTTTGAGACGACACCATTAGCCGTTTAAACACCGCCCAGTTGGGTCCTTCTTTTTTAGGGGCCTTCAACATCAGCTGAAAAGGGGCACGTTTTTAATAGAAAAACAGGAAGACAAAGGAAAACACAAAGACCCAGTTGCAGGCTTCCACATCGCAGCCGTTCGGAGAGCCCAAACCCAGACGATCCTCGTACACTGAAAATGAGGCGCCCCATACCTCCTACTTGGAACACTTGTAGAACCCCACTTGAAGAGCCTGGACCCCCCTATGGTCCCTTGTGCTTGCCTTTGTACAGCTTTTTGCGTGTCAAAAGCAAAAGATGATCGACTTTAGCTGTTCCAACCTCAAGGTTATAAACGAGGCAACTAGGCGATGCTCGGACAGTGTAAGACCTGGTCGGTCAAAGTTGGGGCGGCTCAAATTCCTCCAGCTACCACCGGTACTGCTCACGCCGTGCCGCTGCCCTCTTGCGACTTAGCATGGTTTTCAACTAGTCCAAACGGCTTCAGACTAACGCTGGGACCCGGGATCCGGGACCCGGGCTGCCACTTCGCCGGGGGACACCGGCGCGCTGCTGTCCAAGCCTCCTCCGCGTGGGAAATATCGGGTGAAAGCAGTCTAGGGGGTGTAGTACAACAACTTGGAGTAACCAATTCGGGGGCACTAGAGGACAATCCTTCACTACAAGTTGTTCCAATTCTGAACGATCCGAGTAACTCGATCCACAAAACGAACCTTAACTTCCAACTCGGGGGCAGTTTGGAAGCAGCCATTCGGGGTGGAGACAACTGTGCGAATATCCTGTGGAGGCAGAGCGCTCGAAAACCGCAAAAAACAGCTCGCCATCTTGCGGATTTTCCCACCATGGTTGTTGGTGATTCTGGACCATGTCGGTGGATTCCGAGTCTCCCCCACCCCTTAAACATGGGGTCACTACCACAGAAAGGGGTCATGGCCCCATTTTTGAACAGTCATAGAGACTCCAGGTTCCGCAAGGGTGCCGTCGGTTTTGGGTACAGCAAAGTTGGCGTTTTTCAGGGCCCTTGTAAAATAATTCGGGGTTCTCCGTTGGAGAGCCCGCGGTCTGCATTGGAGGGGGGAGCTTTGGTTCAACTGACATGGTTTCAAAGGTTTACATTGGCCTTACTACTCATGCTACCACCAGCTAGAAGACCAGGTAGTAGAATCACCTACCAAAATGGCAAAGGGTTTTGGGCGATGCTCATTTTGCCTTAGTAATCCCCTTTGCTTCCCACAGAAGTGAATTGAGCCATCACTTTCACCAAAGAAAATCCAGACCTTGATACCAAACAAACTTGGCCATTCCTATGACAACAGTAACATCGTCACTTTAAAATGGACCCTCCTGGTATCAGCGAAGATGGCTCCAAACCCAATTTTCCATAACCCTCCATGATTCGGCCCTGCACCGGTCGTACAAGGCGTCCGTTTGCAGGGCTTTGACTTCCTTCCCACCAGAACTGGAAAACACGGGGGGGCAACCTGCATGTGTTCCATTTATCCACTAAGACCTCCTATGGAATTCCACGGTCCAAAAGAGCACCGTTTTTGGGGTATGTAATCAAAAAACAACTCGATACACAACGCGGCACGCACACTGCGAGGTTTTGTGCCAATTCACAGACATGTAAACCCCTCCCAAGCTCCTGATGATGGAAACATGCCAGAAACCGGCACCTGCCCAGCGCGGAGGAGATCCCTTGTCAGGTGGCCATCTGGGGCACTCCGGAAAGGTATGCTCTTGACTCTGTTCCATATTCAGTGTACCCTAAAATATAACATAGTTGTGAACCAGACCCCAGGTAAAGGGACACCAAGAGGCAAGCATCCACCTGGAAGCCATTGGGCCGATCCGAGTCAAAGGACTGCGGAGAGCTCCTCTCAGCCTCCATTCCAGAGGTCTGTCATGGGATCTTTGGATTAGCAAAAGGGGAAAACAATAACACACTACAAGGACAACCCCACCACCCCACAACCACAAAGCCACACAACCAAACAACTCACAGAACCAAACAACTCACAAATCTTGCAAATCAAACAATCCACACAACCACACACACACACACACACACGCAGAAGTTACACACTACCACACACGGCCAAACAACCTACACATCTTACCCAGCTCGCGCAACTCGCAACTCACATGCACATGCACACGCACGCGCACGCGCACACGCGCACGCACGCACACGTGCATGCGCGCACACGCGCATGCGCGCACGCAAACGTGCATACGCACACGCACCCGCGCACCCGCACGGACGCGCCACACCCGCGTGCGCACGCACACACACCCACGCGCGCACGCCCGCCTGCCAGCCCGCACGCCCACGCACGCCCACGCGCGCCCGCCAGCCCGCCCGAAAGCAGCCACATAGATAGACAGACAGACAGACGGACAGACAGACAGACGGACGGACAGACGGACGGACAGACGGACGGACAGACGGACAAACAAACAGACACACACACACACAGCATTCTTCCGTGATCGTGACTTGATTCAATAGTCCCCAACCTCTGAGATCATTCTTACCTGGGCCCTTACAGCACTTGACAAACCTGTCCTGCTGACCGGGACATCCCAACAAGTCATTCACATCGCCACTCGAAGGGACACCCAGCTGAAAGCCCTGGGGTCGTTCTGCTTGATGTGCGCTGCACATTTGCATGGTTCAAAACTAAAGCCATGAACGATGCCTTGCCTGATAAACGACTGGACCTCCTGCAAAAAGCGACCGCTTTCTGCAGGTCAGAAGGCACATAAAAGAAACGTCCGAGGGAAAAAGGGCAAACCAGGCAAGCTACGTCTGGCAACAAACGTCAAAGTCACCACAAAACCATGGGACTGTGAGATTCAGTTGCCAGTGTAGAAGGTAACCAGATATTTACCAATTCAATGGGTAAATGGAATCACTGGGCATGGCAATGAACCCAGCCTCAGGGACCACAGTCGGCACTGTCCGAGGCCTCGCTCAAAGAGAATCAGAAGGGAGGAAGGGAGGAAGCCTGTGCTGTAGAACAGGCTCCTAGGAGTTGATGTGTGATTCCCTTAAATGGTTCTTTTCAAAAACCAAGGGTTTCCCTTGGTTGTTTGATTGGATTCTGGAAAGAAACATCCCTGCTGGAAAGACTGGAAAGGGTAGCATGGAGTTGTCCTTTCGATTGGGCCTGTTTGGCACATTTAAGGCACATGCATTTTGGGGCCATTGCAAGAAGAGTGACACCCGGAAAATCAGGAAGACCGAACCTGAGCATCCCTCTTGGAGTCCTGTTCATCACTTGCAGCTCTTATGGCTTTGACACACCCCAATGCCTGCTCTTTCCAATCCTTGTCATGAGCACACCAGGTTTTTGTTTGTAGGCACCCACCAGGGCTGTGGGAAATGACCATGATACAACAATAAGGGCTTCCGAAACACGAACCCCCCACATAACGCGGGAGATTCCCTATCACAGAAGTGGTTGGTAAAACCGCGAGTGATGCGACAACCCTGGCACCCACGAAAACTCAACGGAACTCCAAGAAGCAAACTAGTAAAACAGATGGCAAGAACCCGGGTTCCACTTTGTCACTACCCCAAGATAGACTTAAAAACCCAGGCGTGTTTGATTTCCGCCAAAGGAAACCCCTGGGTTTAACTCTATGGGCTAGCAAAAAAGTGGAACCCCGACAAGAACAGGCAAGAGGTGGTCTTCAAGGGACGAAGAGCGTCATGCTGCAAGTCCATCCTGACTTCAAGAGAATCAATGGCCTTCGCAGGAAGCAAAACTTGGCACCCCTGGGTACACCAACAATGCGTCCTGATTCAGTTCCGTAGAACATGATTTTGAAGGAGACGGAAGAAAGCATCGAACTCAAGCGCCCCGAGCATTACAACATTCAAGGACTTCTGTTGCCCTGACAACCCCCTCTATACGTCTGCGTCGGCCAGTTCCATAGCAGGGACCCTTTTGGAAAACCTGGCGCGCGACAGACGCAAAGATGACTATGCCGAATGGCCACCTATGCCGGATGGCAAGGCATTGGAAATGAAGGCTTGCCATTGTCGCGGGGGCATACTGAAGAGGCAAAACGTACAAATTTAGAACCTTGTTGGGATGTACCAATTTAGCAAGTTATTTGGATGTACCAGATTAGTAAGCTACTTGAATGTACCAATTGAGTAGGATATTTGGATGTACCAGATTAGTAAGCTACTTGAATGTACCAATTTAGTAGGTTGTTTGGATGTACCAACTTGGTAGGTTACTTGCATGTATAGTTATTTGGATATATCATAGATGCTATCAATTTAGAAATTATTTGGCTGTACCAATTTAGTAGGTGATTTAGATGCACCAATTATTAGCTTGTTTGGATGTACCGAGCTAGTGAGTTATTTGGGTGAACCAATTTAGTATTTGGATGTACCAACTTAGTAGGTTGTACCGTTATACCCATGGTTCTAACTGGGGCTTAGTCCCCTTAGTCCGCTATGGTTCTAACCTAGAGCTGCCATTGGCCTCGTGATCCAGTGAGTTTATTTAAAGTGTCGCAAACTTTTGGTGGCTGCCTGGTTGGATTCCACGGGATTTTCGGGGAGTTGCCAAACTCCCTGGGAGGTTTAGACCAAAATCTGCCGGGCGACGGAACTGTCGCAGCCAAAAGTGTCGCCGTTCGGTTGCCTTGTTGCCCCTTGACTCGGTCATTTTCTCGAAGCGGGCTCAAGACAGAACTGTGCAACAGGTGCGGAATTGGTCGATCTGCTTGGTATGTCCGCAAACACGCGGTACCATTTCAAATCCCAGGCAACCCCATCGGAAACAACACATCCAAGCCTCCCCGAAAACCGGACTTCTAGTGACATTGATTAAGACTCAGCACATACACAAAATCCAAAAACAACAACAACAACAGGATAAGGCTCATCATGAACACACACACACACTCACATATGCATACATAATACATGTACATATATATATATATATATATTATCTGTATACATCCGGAATATTTGTATACATGTGCTTTGTTCATTCAAAGCCCACACCAAACACCGGGTGCCCCATGTCCCCTACACCCCAGAACCTGGGGATCCCTACTGGGAGGCAGTGGCTACAGTGCCAGTACGCACGTCGCCCTGAGCGACAGGAGGCACATAGGTGGCGCTCGAAAACTGGCGCTTCTCCTGTAGACTTCCCATTTTGTTTCAAGGCGAGCAAGGCTGGCCACGGAGAGGTGTTTTTGAGGTTAGACTTTTCGGATCTGGAGATCAAAAGCTACCTCACCTCCAGCCTTGGAACAGCTTCCACAAAAAAAAACCTGGACGGTAAGCTTGTGGGGCCAAGAGCACTACTCAAAATCAGCAAAAAGTCCAGATGTCGGCTTTGCACTGAACATGGGCTGAGCCCCTGGTATGAAAACTATGGCTCAAGTACGGGCTAATTCAATCCCATTTGCAGTGGGTTCGGCATCCACCAAGCAAACTTCAGATTGACCGACAAACACTGAACAACAAACCCACGAAACACCGAATCCACCGACCAAGTTTGACTCCTGCAAATATCTTCACGCCTCGCCGTGTTTGCGCTGCCAGGGTGAAAAAACCCGGTGATGGGAACCTGTGCAAGTGGTTTTGTGTGGTTTCCAAGGATCCCTGTTTAGCGACAACGACTTGGGGGGGGGGGAGGGACTTGCTTTTCTTTGGAAGCGACAACGACTTGGGGGTGAGTTCTGCACGGTTTTTCGCGGCGAGAGGTCTCGCCTCGGGCCCCGGGGAAGTGGGGGACGGCAGCTCCGTAGGCACCGGCATCTCCTGACGGAAACGGCAAGGGAAAAACCGACATCAAAAACTCGCGCGGTGCTTGTACATATTGGGCAGATGAACCCAAAAGGCCTGATGTTCATACCCCGCTCCCCAACAGGAATATAAACCTCTTATAAAGTGGTTGGAAACCAGGGAAGCCAAGGGGTATGAACAAGGGGTATAGGAAACCAGGGAGACCATCCATATCCATACTAAAGCCACAGGTAAGAAACCCCCCGTTCTTCCAGGCGTTTCGCCACTGTGGGTGACTGTAGTGGTAAACCGGGCTTTCACACCTGACCTGGGCTTCCCTTTTTGGCACACCCATGGTTTTAGTCGAGGTTTGAAAGGGTGGTATATAGCCGGTGCTTCAAGGCAAGCCAGTATAGCGCCATAGAAAGTAACCAGGGGAACCATCATGTAAGACCCAGAGGCAAGAAAACCTGGTTGCCTACTGAAGTGGTAATTGGAAGCACTGGGATTGAAAGGTTTTACTGGGACACCTGACCGAAACCAACACGCCTTGATGGCTCCCAGTATAGAGGCAGGACAAATGGGAGGCAGCAACTTGTTTAGGCCAAGGCGACATTCCAAATGGATTTTGCTTGATGGAGATTGCAAAAGAACATGCTGCGGCGTGTCTGTTTTTAGTGGTCCCCAAAAAATGGTTGTCTTGCTTGTGGTTTCCCTTTAGCAAAACACGAAAATACGGGGCACATCCAAACATGACACACCTACGTATGAAAAAAACATATTTGAGTATATAATCCCCAAGTTTGGAGGTCGAGGTTGCTGGTTCTCAGGAAAAGGAAACCACAAGGAATGGTTTATAGGGGTCGTTCCTGATTCCCTGAGAACCAGCAAGAACACTTGCAAACAGAGAGCTTGTAGAAGGCACGTCCCGCTCAATCTTTTCAGGCCCCTTTTAGGTGTTGATTTCTGAGGGAATGCAAAAGTCCTAGCCTGGCCCGGCATGCCTCCTTTCCCATACAGCGTGGACAAATTGCACACCGGAAAACTGGAATCAAACCATATGTCTGGATATCCCCCCACCTCAAGAGAAAGGGGGGGGGGAAGCTGCGTGACAAAAAACAACATTTTCGCGCAAAGGGGAGTCCAAGGACCACCCCTCCCTTTCCGGAAAATCCATGCCAAGACGGTAGGGGATGTCTGAATGCGGTATCATTGGTATCCTGGTTCTCCGGCCTGCTCACCCCTTCGCCGAACTATGCAGGCTGGGGTCCAACATGTAATTCGGGTTGGTACCTTGACCCCTTAGGGATCCGTAACGTAGACTGAGACCTTGTAGGGGCTTCCCCAAACAAACATCTGGGTTTCCACACTCTCGGACTACGGAAAATCACCCCAACTGGTCCCAGAGAAGCAGGTCTGACATAGAAATAGCCACAATCTCAGGTGAAACCGAAATAACACTTACCAAGAGACTGTCTGCAGCTTGTTGGGAAAATGCGCTCCCACACGTTGAAGATTAAGACTCCACCTCAATATCACACAAATATCAGCTGGGTGTTTCTGAAAATAGGGATCCCTGTTTTGGATAGTTGTTGGAAAGAGTCAACCAAAATGAAAGCACCTACCTGAGGGTTCCTATTTTGAGAAACCCTCAACTGGGTTTCGGGGCAAGGCCGGCTTTTGCCGAAGTTCCGCTTTCCGACTCGCCGGCTCGTTCGGCTCGCTCCGTGGGCGAATGCGGCTGCGGCACCGAGCTGCTCATCCTGGCGGCGCTCACGGCTCTCACGACGTGAGAGCAACTTGGACCTTCCGAAACCAACCTCACAGCGAGCCAACCTGTTGGCTCAACGACAAAAACTGGGTGCGAACTCTGCTCCCCTGCTAAAAGTGGCTAACTTTTAGTGGTTTAGTACGCAAAACCCATGAGTTGGCAAAAAGTTAAAGTAGTACACAGCCAAGCAACATGCACCAAAGAAAACCTCTGCGCTTTTCTCTGCCGCAACCTACCGCCTGAGAAACATAGCAATATAACGGGAGACCAACCGGGCTAAGCCCATAAACTTAGGGGCGTGTCTCGTTTTGACTGTACTTTCTTTTGGTTGCTGTGAAAGGGAAAATAAACGGAAAACCGTTGCGCCATTTTAGGGGTCCCTAACCTTGCTGGTTCTCCTCGGGGAAAAGGAAAAGACCCCTATAAATCATCCCCTATGGTTTCCTTGAAGGGATATTTTCTTCAGGTTCATTCCCAACACCCGGATTTGGTCGTTCCCTACCTATCGCACCAGCAAGTAACAAAAAAACACACTTCGCTTCAAGTTTGGAAAACAAGGGGATCCGACAGAGACGTGACGCTGTGGCAAACTCAAATTTATTCGGAGAACCGTACTAATCACGGTTGTCTTCCTTTCAGTGGGAAATTCATCCCTTTGTAAGGAGGATGCCCCGACTTTCGTACATTCATCCGAAGCTAACGTTACAAAGGAGATACCTTCCCGAGGGTCTTTAATTCCTATTCAACTTTATTGAAATATCTTGCTGCGTCTGATTTAACTAGGAACTCTTCAAATGGCTCACGGCTTCTCGGTTCATTCAAAACCAACCCCCCATTGCATGGGAATCACCGTACCAAGCATAACATAGCATGAACGACAAACAACATGCTGGAATAATATATCAGGCCGAGTAAATTGGCAAGTCTCTGACTTCCTCAAGAGATTGGCAAGAAAAGTCGAACTTCTGCTTTGCCACTAGTTCATTGAAGTCCAGAACCAAACCCGCAAAGGGTCCAACAATCTGTCAGCCCGGAAACACTACAAGTCAAAAAAAACGGAAAACATCGTCTTGCAAAGGGGCACCAATTGCATGTCTGTGCAGTTCCCTGTATTTGCTGGGAGGGTGCGGGGTGTTTAGTGACGTTGTTAATACAGGTGTTGTTTGTATAACCCCCTCCAAGGAAATCGGGCACGAATCGGGGACGATCACTCCAGTTGACCTAGTTGCCTACAAAGTAAGTAACATCCAAGTCCGGGACAGCCAAACCATTCTCTCCGGGCCTTGCTTGATTTTTCAAAGGGGCGGAGGCTAAGTTGAAACATCTTGCCCCGAACCCTCTTCTGGGAAAGGCAACATGTTACCCTCCCACCACCAACCCGGAACCTGACAGAGGTCCTGAAAGATCCTTTTCTCTGAAGCATATCCGCATGACAATGTCCATTTGAGCAGCAAGCGGTGGAATAAGAAACAACAATCTTCGCTATCCAAATGTCCCATGTCCATTTGAATGCACCTCAATAGCTTGAGGGGGTCAACTACCAAAAGCTCCCCTCTGAGCTGCAAGCATGGCTGACGAGGACAAGTGCATCGCGGATGACCTGAAGCGTTCAAGCCATTGGCTGGGGGTGAATCGATTACACCATGGGCAAGTAAAGGGGATGACTCGCCCATGAATTGAAGCTACTTTAACACACCAACTGTACACCCTGGGGTTGCACCCTGGAACAATGGGCCCATGTTTGGCCGATTATCATCTGGTTTTATGTGGGCATATGAGATCATGTCCCAGTCGGTATGTAGTGAAAACGATCCAAACATCAGGGTTCGTCTCCAAATGAGGCGACCCCCAGCACGATGTGCCGTTGGGTTCAACACTAATATGTGAGCAACTGTCGAAGTTGCTACCCTACTGGACAGCAAACAATTAGAGACTCCCTTGCTTCTTCGTTTGTTTCTCCGTGGGAAAACTTAGAGCGCCCCCCCATGTTCCCCCCCAATAGGCCATTTCTCTCTGCTCGCATCGGATGCACATTTGCTGGGCATCAAGATGAACAGGACACCTTTCATTTCCCTCTTAAGCATCACCACACCAAAAGGAAGCTCGCTTCCAGAATCGGCCATTCCACCAGATCAACATGTGGAAATGTGTCTTACGAGGGTACCCTTTTTGAGGTTGGTTTCAAACGAATCCAAAGGGAAGCCACCGATTGGTTGGGTCTCCAATTGACACATACCCATGTTTGTTGTCTGCTCCTTTGAATGCCTTGGTGGTTTCCAAACTCACACATTGGCCCTAAAAAGCTAGTGGCGAGGCCATACCTTTCGGGACCCAAACCAAGTCATAAAAACCTACAGTGCACCCTGCCCCCTTAAAACATTCAGCTAAAGAGCCGAGCACAGTCAGATATCCCTCTAAAAGTTTAACTTTTAATGAGTTAGATGGAACCCCACTAAACGGCTGGGAAAGGCCAAGTTAAGCCTCTCTGACTCGGTGGCTCTAAGGGGTGTGTTGCGCCATACCCTCCAGACTATCAACAGCTCAGCTCTGGACACCTGAGATGTAATCATGTGGGCCTGCCCCATCTTCTTTTCTTTTACTTTGCTCCTTCTCTGTTTGGTTGGGGGGGGAGGGGGCGGGGAATCTGCAAAATTGATCCCGGGTGGGTTCCCTGTCTCACTTCCGTGGCTTGGCAAAGCCGGCCAACTCTGGGAGTGAGTGAGCCTTGGGTGTTGCTTCTTTAGGGACCTCCATGGTTTTCCTTTTGGTGTCCCCCATTTAACAACTACACAACAGAGGGTACCAACTCTGAAAACGACACAACACAGGGGTATATACCAACTCCAAAAAAACACAAAGGGGTACCGACTCCAAACAAGACACGCAAAAAGGGGTACTAACTCCAAAAAACAGACACGCAACAAAGGTACCAAATCCAAAAAAATACAACAAGGGGTACCAACTCCAAAAAAAGGGGGGGACCAACTCCAAAAAAAGACGCAACCAAAGGGGTACCAACTCCAAAAAAGACGCAAACAAAAAGGGTGCCAACTCCAAAAAAAACGCAAACAAAGGGGTACCAATTTCAAAAAAAGACGCAAACAAAAAGGGTGCCAACTCCAAAAAAGACGCAAACAAAGGGGTACCAACTCCAAAGAAAGACGCAAACAAAGGGGTACCAACTCCAATAAAAGACGCAAACAAAGGGGTACCAACTCCAAAAAAAGACATAGACAAAGGGGTACCAACTCCAAAAAAAGACGCAAACAAAGGGGTACCAACTCCAAAGAAAGACGCAAACAAAGGGGTACCAACTCCAAAGAAAGACGCAAACAAAGGGGTACCAACTCCAATAAAAGACGCAAACAAAGGGGTACCAACTCAAAAAAAACACAGACAAAGGGGTACCAACTCCAAAAAAAGACGCAAACAAAGGGGTACCAACTCCAAAGAAAGACGCAAACAAAGGGGTACCAACTCCAAAAAAAGACACAGACAAAGGGGTACCAACTACGCAACACCAAACAAAGTACCAACTCCGACAAACAAAGGGGTACCAACTCAGACAAAGGTACCAACTCCAAAAAGACGCAAACAAAGGGGTACCAACTCCAAAGAAAGACGCAAACAAAGGGGTACCAACTCCAATAAAAGACGCAAACAAAGGGGTACCAACTCCAAAAAAAGACACAGACAACAACTCCAAAAAAAGACGCAAACAAAGGGGTACCAACTCCAAAGAAAGACGCAAACAAAGGGGTACCAACTCCAAAGAAAGACGCAAACAAAGGGGTACCAACTCCAAAAAAAGACGCAAACAAAGGGGTACCAACTCCAAACTCTAGGGGGTGTGTTGCGCCATACCCTCCAGACTATCAACAGCTCAGCTCTGGACACCTGAGATGTAATCATGTGGGCCTGCACCATCTTCTTTTCTTTTACTTTGCTCCTTCTCTGTTTGGTTGGGGGGGGAGGGGGCGGGGAATCTGCAAAATTGATCCCGGGTGGGTTCCCTGTCTCACTTCCGTGGCTTGGCAAAGCCGGCCAACTCTGGGAGTGAGTGAGCCTTGGGTGTTGCTTCTTTAGGGACCCCCATGGTTTTCCTTTTGGTGTCCCCCATTTAACAACTACACAACAGAGGGTACCAACTCTGAAAACGACACAACACAGGGGTATATACCAACTCCAAAAAAACACAAAGGGGTACCGACTCCAAACAAGACACGCAAAAAGGGGTACTAACTCCAAAAAACAGACACGCAACAAAGGTACCAAATCCAAAAAAATACAACAAGGGGTACCAACTCCAAAAAAAGGGGGGGACCAACTCCAAAAAAAGACGCAACCAAAGGGGTACCAACTCCAAAAAAGACGCAAACAAAAAGGGTGCCAACTCCAAAAAAGACGCAAACAAAGGGGTACCAATTCAAAAAAAAGACGCAACCAAAGGGGTACCAACTCCAAAGAAAGACGCAAACAAAAAGGGCAACAAAGGTACCAACTCCAAACAAATACAACAAGGGGTACCAACTCCAAAAAAACAAAAAGGGGTACCAACTCCAAAAAAGACGCAAACAAAGGGGTACCAACTCCTAAAAAAGACGCAAACAAAGGGGTACCAACTCCAAAAAAGACGCAAACAAAGGGGTACCAACTCCTAAAAAAGACGCAAACAAAGGGGGTACCAACTCCAAAACAAAGGGGTACCAATCCAAAAAAAGCAAACAAAGGGGTACCAACTCCAAAAAAGACGCAAACAAAGGGGTGCCAACTCCAAAAAAAGACGCAAACAAAGGGGTACCAACTCCTAAAAAAGACGCAAACAAAGGGGTACCAACTCCTAAAAAAGACGCAAACAAAGGGGTACCAACTCCAAAAAAAGACGCAAACAAAGGGGTACCAACTCCAAAGAAAGACGCAAACAAAGGGGTACCAACCCCAAAAAACAGACACGCAACAAAGGTACCAACTCCAAACAAATACAACAAGGGGTACCAACTCCAAAAAAAGACACAGACAAAGGGGTACCAACTCCAAAAAAAGACGCAAACAAAGGGGTACCAACTCCTAAAAAAGACGCAAACAAAGGGGTACCAACTCCAAAAAAGACGCAAACAAAGGGGTACCAACTCCTAAAAAAGACGCAAACAAAGGGGTACCAACTCCTAAAAAAGACGCAAACAAAGGGGTACCAACTCCAAAAAAGACGCAAACAAAGGGGTGCCAACTCCAAAAAAAGACGCAAACAAAGGGGTACCAACTCCTAAAAAAGACGCAAACAAAGGGGTACCAACTCCTAAAAAAGACGCAAACAAAGGGGTACCAACTCCTAAAAAAGACGCAAACAAAGGGGTACCAACTAAAAAAGACGCAAACAAAGGGGTACCAACTCCAAAAAAAGACGCAAACAAAGGGGTACCAACTCCAAAGAAAGACGCAAACAAAGGGGTACCAACCCCAAAAAACAGACACGCAACAAAGGTACCAACTCCAAACAAATACAACAAGGGGTACCAACTCCAAAAAAAGACACAGACAAAGGGGTACCAACTCCAAAAAAAGACGCAAACAAAGGGGTACCAACTCCTAAAAAAGACGCAAACAAAGGGGTACCAACTCCAAAAAAGACGCAAACAAAGGGGTACCAACTCCTAAAAAAGACGCAAACAAAGGGGTACCAACTCCTAAAAAAGACGCAAACAAAGGGGTACCAACTCCTAAAAAAGACGCAAACAAAGGGGTACCAACTCCAAAAAAGACGCAAACAAAGGGGTGCCAACTCCAAAAAAAGACGCAAACAAAGGGGTACCAACTCCTAAAAAAGACGCAAACAAAGGGGTACCAACTCCTAAAAAAGACGCAAACAAAGGGGTACCAACTCCTAAAAAAGACGCAAACAAAGGGGTACCAACTCCAAAAAAAGACGCAAACAAAGGGGTACCAACTCCAAAAAAATACAACAAGGGGTGCCAACTCCAAAAAAACAAAAAGGGGTACCAACTCCAAAAAAAGGCGCAAACACAAGGGGTACCAACTCCAAAAAAAAGACACGCAACAAAGGTACCAACTCCAAAAAAATACAAAAAGGGGTGCCAACTCCAAAAAAATACAACAAGGGGCACCAACTCCAAAAAATACAACAAGGGGCACCAACTCCAAAAAAAATACAACAAGGGGCACCAACTCCAAAAAAATACAACAAGGGGCACCAACTCC